AGTCATGGAAAAGAAGGGGTCCACCTTAGGGTTCTTGTCGGTGGCTTGCTTCACTGACTACTTGCTGCATTGGGGAAAACAAGGTGCCCGATTTTCCAAAAGAGAGGAGCTAGGTACTTACTGCGTACTTCTTGATCGGGCTGCGACATTGTCGTCCAAGATGATTGGGTACCTATCTGTGAGAAGGAGCCTCGCGAAGTATCGGTGAAGCTGGCCTAGCTGACATTTGATCGCACTCGGCATCACCTCATCCGTTCACAGCAGCGCAAACTCGCATCAGCGTCGGATATCACAGCACAGCCTTGATTGATTTCGAAAGAAGTTTTTTTTTTGCGTCTGAACCAGCAAATCCTTCACCCACGTTCCCATCCATTTCATCCTGGTGTCTCGTCTGGAAATGCCGCTGTCGATCTCTGGCGTTGATCGTCACTGAGCGTGCAAGCGGCGTGGCGGCCAAGCTTGCCTGAGTATGGACAGCAACAAAACCATGCTGGAGCTCTATAGGCAGTACTATCGTAGCGCCATGATTGGAGGCCTGCACTCTTTCCAGCCACAGGATGTCTGCCCCGAAAGGTCAGCCAGCGACTGAGGTTCTCCCCCGTGTGTACCCCGCACGTAACCTCCCATGTCCCGTAATCATACCTTGTTGTAGAATACTCAAAGCCTTCTGACCCTTTGAGAGATGAAACATCTGCAGTTCTCCCAAGGCCCGTTAATGGTAGCCGCCGGAGCCGCTGATTCTGCTGCTTTGCGCAGGGTACTGCAAGTGAGAGGGCCCTTAACCACCAAATACTTGTGGCTGGCCATACAAGGGTTTGCATCCCGGGACCGCAGTTCTGATGACCGGCCACACTATAGCACAGTAGCAGTTTTCTCTTTCACTCCCGAGGCGCACCTCAATCTCTGTGTCTTCCGAGGTATTCTGCCATACCCTTTGACTGCTTCACGTTTTCTCGGCCCAAGCCGGTGGACGTTCATGTGGGGCTTCAATTAACTGAATGGCTAGAGGATAGATAGCAACACCACCTCTGAAGTGTACCTAGGAGGTTGTTGAGTGGAATGGTGCGGGTCCAGGAAGTACACTACTTAAGGTCAGTCAAGTAGGTAAGACACCTTACCTTACAACGAAGGAAGGACCCTTTATCCGTACCATCGCATCACTAGGTAGAGCTTGGCTCCTTTATAAATTGTGGCCAGCCAACCCACTCGTACATCCAAGCTTCGGTGCGCATTGGAGGCCGGAACAAGATGCTGAGCGCTGATCTCTTGGCCGATCGCTACCAATTTCAACAGGTTGGGTAAGAGTCGGAATTCCTCTTGCTTATTCTTCCCCCATCAGCGGGAGGGGTTTTGGGGTTGAGGGGGCAGAATACGTGGGCGTTCTACGGATAGGTACAACGCCCATCTCCTCCAAGGCTGCTAATGCAGCGTGCGGCTGGTGGGATTAGAGGTTCGTATCCTGAGGTAGGTACGGTACCTCAGCCAAGAAGTCAGTATCACTATTCTGTACTGTGCTGCTGGTTTTTGTCGGCTAAGTCAAGCAGCACGGAACCTGGCTGCGACTCTTGCTAGCACAGCAAAGCTCTGCCGACTTGAAACATGCACACGGTGACTTCGGACTGCGAGGCTTGTCCGCCAGGTTCGCACGTTCGGAGCATATTGGGGTCCATGTGTGGCGCTCACGTCCAGCTCTTCTACCGTATAATCTCAGAAAAAGGAGAATCCGCACCCCCCCTGTCAGACTAATCCAGCTTTTCGCGTGAGTTCCGCTCGCTGGTTTAACACTGAACCTCCCAATTAGACCCTTGTATACAGGGGGGATGGGGATTTTCCTTCTTCTGAGATTATACGGTACTTTCCTGTGCCTACAAATGGAGATTGCCGTGCTGTAATTGTCGATTGTAGACGTTGACGATAGCTTCAATTGTATTTTCCTGAACCGCGCCATGCTTGCTATTGCTAATCTTTCACCACAGGGCGTCAATGAGCGTCGTGTGCTAAGTATTCGTACGCTCAAATATTGACCACGGCTTTGCGGCCATTACGTCACTCGAGTGGCATGGGGTTGCCCTGCTCGAAGCGGAGTTGTGGGGCTTCCATGCAGTCGAGAGGACAGAACGGGGATAACGACCAGCGACACCACTAGGTTGGCAGCCCCTGATAGAAAGTTGCAGGTCGCCAGTGACCAATGCGGCATGTGGGCAGAACTCATCGACCTCACTACGGCGTGCTAGGGGACGTTCCCCGGAGAGCCAGGAGGAACATCTCCGGGCGGGCATGACGTACCTACTCAGATCAGTGTCAATAAATTTGCCTGATGATATCGAACGAGTCTCGTTGCCGACGATGAGACGCAATAAGCATGCGACTTCGCACTGGCATCAGTGCGATTCCTCGATGTACTGCATACTATGCAGCGGTGTTCGTTGTCACGCCTAATCTTCGTCCATGGCTCCGGGGTTCTCTGGACCCCTCCAGAGCTGCGCGGTGAACATTCGGCGACGGGTCCAACACATATCGCTACCATTCCGTTTCTGCGGATCTTCAAATCACCCTCTGCTTTTCCGCACCTGCACTACGTTGACTTCGTCCGCGTTTACATGCCTGAGTGTTTCTGTCACGAGCATCGAGCGCGTTCGATGGAACTTAGACTCCTTACTAGAAGCTGATAGAAACCCGTTCGCCATCAATGTGGCAACGCCCGGGCTGGTTATTTATCTAAGCCTGCTGAGCCTCATTGAGGTTCTGGTATCGTATCTGCAATAAAAACAACTCCAAACGCCAGCATTTGCAGCTGCTTTTGTGATTGGACAAAGGCTGATGGAGGGAGGACTGAAAAAAAAACATCAGCGCAACCGTCCGTCCAAGTACAGACATTCACAAGATGCGCCAATTGGAAATGCTCGCACGGGAGGTTTCCCTGCGCGGCCGCTAGACTTTGCCACGGCCAGTGAAGCGCGTACGACGTTCCCGATGACTCCACCAGTAGGCAGCGGAAGCGAGGGTACTGATGAGCCAGAGCAGTGCGTTGGCTAAGTCAACCCATACTGCATTCTTCATCCGCTGAATATCTTTATCGCCCTCGGCATTTTCCTTGATATACATCTATCGATCGAGGTAAGTATACACGAAACAAGAGCAGACAGAGGCAATGTCTGGCAGTTTAGCTAGTCAGGCAACGTACATTACCAAAGAGTCCGAAGAGAGCAATCCAAAGGACGAAAAGAATGAAGTCCCAGACGAAGGTGGCGGCAAATCGTAGGATAAAGGGGACGCAGTAAAGAAGGGCCGTCACGGCGGAGAGGGCACCGACCACTTCAGCGAAAACCTATCGGGCGTGTGTAAGCATTCATCCGTTCCTCCCCCAGAGATGCTGGGAAATTCGTACCCATTTAGAGTCGACATATACCCCCTCGTTTCTGGCGCGCTGCAGATCGACGGCGTACAGACCACAGACGGTGATGGCCAGGACGAATTGGAAGAAGTGCAGGACGGTGAAGGCGAGATAGCTCGCGGCCATGCCAAAAAGGCCCATTTTGAATGCTGGTGGAGGATTCGGGGTGGGCCGCCGGTTACGGAACGGGGTTTGGAGGAGGTTCAACGGATGCTTGACGGAGTTTCGACGGAGGCGGCGCTAGAAGCGTATGACTGCTGGCGATTCAACGGTGGCTGGGGATGACGATGAAGGAGGAGAATTGCGGAAGTGGACAAAGGGGACTGGCTGGGTTAGGGAGGGCTTTTAGGGCAATGCAGAGGGTGTCTTGTCTTGCAGGCGCTAAGGGGAGGTCGCGAACGGGTCGTGACCTCTCCAAGGCGATGCCAGGTTACCTCATGTGGTGAGTTATCGTGCCATTCAACGCTAGCCAACACCAAACAGGTTGATCGGCGTCTTGATGTCGTCCTTGCTTTGACGCCCTGAGTGTCGGTGCCCAGTGCCCTGGCATTTCGAAGGTCTCAGGCCCAGACCTAGGCCTGGGTTGGTTGGTGACTTCAAGGTAAGCAATTTTGGATGGCGCCTCTCAGATGGTCCCCTATGACGCACTTGGCGTGCCCCTTGTGCATTGTGAGCCAATGGAAGACGCAAGAGCAGCACACGGATGACAGGGGGACTGTCATCTGTTGGCCCAAGCTCAAGCTTTCAGGTCACATAGTACTAATCAGAATAAACGACCGCTTTCTGGACCACCCCTCGCTTCAACCCTTAGGCCTCCCTCAGATAAAACAGAAAAATAATAAAAGAATATTCAGAAAACAACTTACTCTCTAAAGATTAATTTAATACTAATAATTATCGTAGTTAGAAGGTGGGCTACGCTGGTGTACTAGGCGCAAAAAGGTACGCTCAAAAACCGGTTGATCTTTCTAATACCCGAGTGGCATGGGCAGATGGCAGAAGCTCATCCGGCTCCGTCAGTTCAAAGTCTCTCTAACCTGGGTAACTCAGGAACCGACTTGAGTGAGTGATTCGCTCTCTGCCACCTAGTACAGCACCGTAAGCTGGGCAAGTAGCACGTAGACCTGGCCACGATGCAGAACACCTGGGAAAGCACTCCTTGTGGCAGTAAATCATTGGACGCACTATTATCTAACCCTCGTCAAGCCATGGAGATGCGGTCGAGCCTCCAGTGACAACACAACAGCCGCCCGGTATTCAAGACTCGCAGGCAGGGTCGGATCCCAGGGTCCTGCCGAGCTTCGGAAGCTCTGTCGAAGAAAATACCAACAGGCTTCGGATGCCCGCGCGCGACACCCCCGGCCCCCCCTTCCAGCGCTGGGGGATCCGACGCACATACGCCTACACACTGGACCTCGGGACATATGGGCCTGACCGGTGAGCGCTCCAACGCTCGGCCCGGTCCGGAGCCTCTTTCCGTCGTCCATGTCATCTCTCCAGCTCAGCGGTGCTGCCATCGCCATGTTGACACTTCTGTCACACTAGTGGCTTTGTATCACATCAACGACCTGTCACCGCCTAGCAGATATCTTGCCTATGTCGCACAATGTCTGACGGGGCCACATCCGACTTCCAAGCGGCTGAGTTGCCCAAGCCGCCCTTTATACCCGTTCCTGGTCTCCCAAACTTTCGCGATGCTGGCGGCTACCCGATTGACTCTCAGCCGGGCCGCATCCTGAGACCGGGCATTGTCTTCCGCTCCGCAGAGCCTTCGCGCCTAACGGACCAAGGCGTCGCCCTTCTCCAGGACATCGGTATCACCCACGTCTACGACTTGCGTTCCGCCGTCGAGCTCAAGCGCCTCGCGCAAGCAGGCGCCAATTGCGACGTCCGCGAATGGCCGGGCGCCACCCGTGTTTTCGTCCCCGTTTTCCAGGACCAGGACTACGGCCCCGAGGCTATCGCCCTCCGCTACCAGAACTATTCCAGTAACGGCACCGAGGTGAGTAAAGAGTCCCAAGTCTACGTCTGGAAGGCCGTCGGACCCCCCACCACCCGCTCGACTTCTTCCCTGGCCATCTTCACCTCGTCCAAGTTGATAACCTAAAACGTGGCCACAGGGCTTCACCAAAGCCTACGCCGACATTCTGCGCGCTGCTTCAGGGCCGGATCATCCTCAAGACCCCTTTCGGACTATTCTGTCTCACCTCGCCACCCCGGAGATTCCGACGCCGTTGCTTATCCATTGCACGGCTGGGAAGGATAGGACGGGCGTTATCTGCGCACTCATTCTCAGCCTCTGCGGCGTCTCAGACGATGTTGTGGCCCACGAGTACAGCCTGACCGACATTGGATTGCAGGACCGTAAAGAAGAACTGGTCAACCACTTGCTGGCCACGGAGGCCATGAAGGGAAATCCCGAAGGCGCCCGCCGCATGATCGGGTCCCGGTATGCGATAGATCATTTGTTACCCCAGCTATGCCAAACCGCCACTGATACTTCTGAAAACCCTCAGCAAGGAAAACATGCTTTCCACTCTCAAACTGATTCGCCATGAGTACGGGTCGGTCGAGTCATTTGTGCAGACAAGATGTCGCCTCTCGTCAAAGGCTATAGAGCAGATTCGCAAGAACCTCATCGTGGATGTTGCAGATGGTCACCGTGTTGTAGACTGGGTTTCGCACACCAAGTACTTGCTTTGATGAATATGATAGTCTTTTTTGGGCTTGAGAACTCCTTCTTCGAGCTGCCCGTTCGCTGAATCAACGTCATACGGTTACATGTATACATACAGTAGGTAGTTACAGCCGTCGGTACCCTGTCAGACCGACGCCAATGTTGGAAATGGCACTAACCAGGCCTTTGTGGCTCCCTCGTTCTTGTAACGAATAGCCATTCGCCAGCACATCGTGCCTTGGTATCGGAGACTACTCAGATCATATTGAAATTGAGTGTTCATGGTACCGATGTGGGGAGCTTAAACTCTCCCTTCTTGCGGTCATAGAAAGGCACACCATATCTCCAGCCCACAGCCTTGCGGCCACGGCCGTCCTTGCCAGCGGCTTCGACGTTCATCTCCTTGAATCTGAACTCAAAGCGACCAGTGTCCACGCGTGTCGTTTCATCCTCCGCCTTTTCCAGACGCCGCCTCTCCTTCTCAATGAGCCTGTCTTCTTCAGCTCGAGTTGTCTCCTGAAACTTCTCGAACGCCTCAGCTGGCTTCACGCCGCTGTCTATTGATTTCCTCATTGTCACAAGCTCCTTTAAAGGTGATCGCTGGTCGGCGGATAACATGTTCCTGTGGAATGCCTTGGCCGCGTCCTCTCTGTTGAATTGACGTGACTCGGACACGGGGACGAATAGTTGCTGCATCGTGAGCTTGTGTACGTGAATCTCATTGATTGGTTCATGGGGAATTTGAGCCTCCTTCCTCAAGATGGTCTGGGGAAGCATGCCCAGAACCGCTTTAGCATAGGGTGTAGCTAGCTGCTTCTTCTATTGTTTGATTGTTGTCAGCAGGTTGTCTGCGCAGATTCCAGAAATGTTGCGAAGAGAGATAGTGTAGCTAATCAGAGAGGCTCGCAGTGCCAAAGGTGTAACCATGTAGTGCGTCTTCAAGACTAATCGAATTTTGGAAAGTTGATCATCATAGAATGCTTGTTGATCCCGGGGGAACTGGGTAAAGACCAAAAAAAAGGGACAGCTTACCTCGGCAACCCATTGCTTCTCCATCTCCTTCATGCGCACCACCGCAGCAACTCGGCGAACATCGACACCCAGAGAAGATGATACCGTCTTGAGCGAGTGTTTGCTCGTCTTGACTCGACGGTAAATCTCTTCCCTCAGTTCCTCGCTCAACACAGACTGGCTTCTGAAAAGAGGGTTCAGAGGAAAAGGCTGGTCTGGCAGCGATCCCACGTATTTCGGACCATTCTGAGGAGCGTCGCGAAACAGCATGCCACCTTTAGGATCCTTCAGCCATCGGTAAAGACTGTGCTGCGCCTTTGACCTTCTGAGCTGCTGCGACGTTGTGGAAAACTGGCAAGAGACTTGCGCAGCAGGACATGATCGTGACGCTCTGCTCAGTTGAGCATCGCACCACTTGGCGCCAACGGTCAGTGGCGACAATGACGAGCCGGTTCGTGGAGGCATTGTGATCAAAGTCGTCTGGCCGCAGATGCGCACCTAGATTCGCCAATTATGGTGAGATCATTGGAGTGCAGACGGTGTCGAGACATGAGAATTGTGATGGGGGAAAGAAAAAGTCGGTTCGTGTCCAAATTTTCCCTCGTTTTCTTCGGAGCTGGGGCACGGACCAGGCCTGGGGGAAAAGCTATGTTGCCTTAGTCATCCAGCCAATGCCCGCCCCCTATCCCCTTAGTCAGCTGGCCATTTCCGTTCGAACGAGTGCAGAGGAACGCCATAGACCGATCGTAAACTGCGTGCCTTCAACTCTTCCGATGCTTTTGATCATATTCCAATATACAGAGTGCTTCGTTTGTTTGCTTATTATCATTATTTCCTGAGTGCTTGCACCATCCGGTCTCACCCTGTAAATAATTCCCGCGTATTCCCTTATTCCGTCACCCCTCATCAAGGGGATGGCCTGCGGATCTGTCGTGTAGCCCTCGTATTTAGCTGCGTAGACGTTAAGCCCAACCCATGCGCCATGGAAACGCTACGAGCGGTGTGTTCCTTCTGTTGGTTCCCTTGGAATTGTGTCTTTACTTCCAATACCATCTGGCCCCAGTCCAAGATTCTGTTGGCTACTTCGGTAGTACGCTGCGGAACTCTTGCTGGATATCTGTGCCACACAAAACCTAAAAAGCCATTATGCTGGAACTGATGTCATCGAGAGCCGATTCTTTTTTGCCTTCGTTTTCAAGACGGCAGATTTCTTCGCCGCTTCAGTGTCGTCATTTTGTTGACTGAAGTCTTTCCACCTTCTCCAGCCATCAAAATCGATCAAAGCTTGCATGCAACCCCACTCCATGACTTTCCTCTCGAGCCAAACAAAGTTGACTGGCTGAGTAAAGTATCAGCATTAGCTTGAAACGAGTGCGAAAACCAAATGGCGAATGCATACCTTGGTAAGGAAATCGTTGCAACCAGCAGCCAGCGCCTCATGCCTGTCGCTTTGAAGGGAACTGGCAGTTAGGGCAACGATGATGACCGGGCTCTTGAAGAGCTCCATGTTCGTCAAACGATCCTTCTCTTCCAGCTCTCCATTCGTCAATTCCGGTACACTGGAAGCAGAGGAGGAGAAGACGCCAATGGAATTGACTCGTTCTAGCCTCCGAATTTCTCTGGTAGCATCCAACCCACTCATTATGGGAAGCTGAATATCCATCAAGACGAGATGGAAACCGCCAGTTCTCCACATGGAGACGGCGTCCCGGCCATTGACGGCCGTCTTCCACCTCACCTTCAGACGCTTGACGAATGCTTCAAGCAGTTTGAGGTTGATTGGATTGTCTTCAACAATTAGAACGTTAATAGGCGGCACCCCGCCGTTCAGTATGCCGGCTGGCAGAGTTGGATGATCCATATTCTTCTTCGTCTTCTTCGGCCGAGAACTTGCCGGACGAGGCGACGCTGTTCTTGGCGGAGGAGTTGCCACTCTCTGCACCTGCTGAACTTCTGGAGCAGGTGGTGTTGGAAGTGGCGGTGCCACCGGTGCTGTAGCCGATTGCTCCGATGCGTTCGAGTGCGTCCTTGAAGGCGGCAATCTTGGGTGAAATGCGTGTGAGGCGTGGTTCGCCGCAGTAGCGGCAGCAGTCATGGATTGGGCATTAGCGACGTTTAGTATGGTCGGAGAGGACGTATGGGTTCTCCCCAATCGCGGGCGTTCGGGTCTTTCTCTGTATGCGCGAGAACGTGTGCCTCCTGGAGAAGGGATAGGTGGTATTTGGCCAGTGCCGAGCACGGCAATAGAATGTGCGTGGGGTAGGTGTGGGTGTACGGGATGGGCGGGATGGAGAGGATGTGCCGGGACGGTGGCAGGAGCAACGACCGGAACGGGTAAATTGGGTGACGGAAGCGCGCCTACAGGAGGAAAATAACCCTCGCCAGCCTCAGATGGCCTACCCTCATCGGCGTAATAGACAGCGGTGGCATGGGTTGGGGCCCGAGGAGAAGGTCTCGGTGTACGTCTGCTGGGTATATCGATGACCAGAGCCTCGTCGACCGTTTGACCGCCCGGAAAATACGCATCGAGGGTACGACCCATGGGTTCTTCGGGGCCTAGTAGGCGGTCCTGCCTCTGCTCCCGTGGGCAGATGCGCAATGTGAGGTCGGGAGAGTCGAAGTGTCTGCCCAGAGAGTTGGCGTATTTTCTCAAAATCATATCGCGCACGTCGTCGACCAAATCATCCTCATTGATGGTAATGAGAGTAGGAGAGGCACCAGGGCGCCTCACCCAAACCTTTCGGGTGACCATGTTTCCGTTGATAGGAAGCAACGCTTCGACTGCGGAGGGATCGACTTCGTGGTTCGTCTGCGCGGCGTCGAGCAAGGTGCGGATTAGAGTAGTCTGGCGATTGGGCAGGAGGCTCTGGCGGCGAGGAGGACCGTCTGGCCTGGGCGACGATGGTGAAGTCGGTAGGACGGCGGCAACAAGTGGCGTCGAGGTGCCGATGGCATAGCTGAGGGGGCCAAGACGGTCGATGTTGTGGTGAAGGGCAGGGTCAGCCTCGACGACTACAGTTGGAGGGGGTGGGGATTGCGGCGGCAGGGAAAATGGCTTTTGGTCTTGCTTATGTTCGTCGACGGCGTGAGGTTCCGACAAGGCAGCGGCAGGCAAGGCCTGATTTTCATTAATGCTTGGGAGATTGATGGTGTTGGCAGCGGTGGTCACGGTAGTGTTCGTTGATGGGCGCAGATCGTTTCCTGTCGGTCCAAGGTCGCCGCTAGCTGAACGTCGGTCAAAAGCGGCAGCGGCAGCAGCAGGTGCAGGTGCAGGTAACACCAGCGCGGCCGAGTCAGCGTTGGTGTGTGGCTTGTGGGCACCCATACCCGAGTTGTCTCCAGTTTCTTTGGGCTGCTGCTCGTCCGTACTGTCAGCGGAACCCTCCGTCACCAAAGATGGGCTGCTCTCAGGCGCATGAACGCTCTCGTCCTGGCCGAGGTGATGGACATGATGTAGGTGTTCAGTTTGTTGTTGCTGCGAAGGCGATGGTTGTGGTGGCGGCTGCTCATGGCCGTCTTTATCATGTGGTTCGTGGGCAGTGGTAAGCGTAATTGCCGCCTTCAATCTCTGCAGCAGCGGGTGGTCTGCGCCAGGTTCAGGGCTGCCAGGACATGGAGTGTGCGGCTGGGACTGAGACTGGGGCTGGTGATGGGGCTGGTGCAGATGTTGGGAGCTGGAGGCGGTTCCAGCGGCCGAGGATTGCCGCGTGAGCGAGCTGTGAGTATCGCCGTTGGTGCCGTTTGTGGATGCTAGCGAGGGGGCGGCCGAGTTTCTTCGGATGAATTTGGCCCTAAGGCGAGCTCTGATATCACCAGCAGCACCCATAGAAGCTCACATCCAGTGCGAGGGAGGGCGCAACTCCCAGGCGAGAGAGCTGAAGTCGCGTTGGGCTGCAAAGAATAGGAAATGGCGGATGAGCAGAGCAGGTGAGCAGTTGAGCAGGTGCGGCACAGCTGGGGTCCGTAAACCGTACGTGTCGTGTCGTGTCGCGTCGCGGCGTGTGGCGGTGGCGGGTGATATACTCTTGTTTGGTGGTGATCAGGTGGATTGATGGATTGATAATAATCGTTACAAGGTTGGATCTTTTGTGACTTTGGTCTCGGTGACGCTTCGTCCAGGACCGCGGTAGCAATGAGACAGACACAAAAGAAATGTAAATGCTACGTATGCGTGGAACACGCAAAGCTGGGTTGTTGGGTTGGTAGGGACAAAAAAAAAAAAAAAAGGAAGAATGAAAGAGGCGAATGAATATGGATCGATACGATGCAGTTGGAGAAATGGCAGGCCTTACACTGGGGGTAGCGGAGAGAACAGGACGGCGTGGATGGCATATGAAGGGATAAATGATGATTACCTTCCTGGACCTCGACTAGAGCCTTCAGCCATGAAGCAGAAGCCTTGGATTCAATAGGTAGGCCAAAGGTAAGGCGAGCAGGTCCAGGACGAGGCACCCCCGACAGACAACGTACGTGGGTAACGAATTCGAGGCACCTAACCTTAGGTAGCCCAGTTTGCTAAGGTACCTAGACGAGTCGACGATGCCAAATCTGCCAGTAACGCAAGGTCTATCGTTGGCAACTGGGGAAAATCGCAAACCATAGGTGAGGTGACAACAGTAGCACCCTAGGCCATACTCACGAATAGGAACGGTACGGACACAGTCAATACAATGGCAAAAAGCCTGCTTTCCTCGTTCATTTCCCACACCTGGCCGCCATCTTTCGTGCTGCAGTCGACCCACCCCTTTTCCCCCCTTATCCTCATTGGCGCTCTTATCCCTGGTCGCCTCAGTTCCGACTTGCCCAGCTGTTGTTCATCGAGATCTTGCACGCCAGCGCGCCCGTGCTTGCGAATCCCCAAACGGCGTTCCGACATGCCACACTGAATGTGACCACTTCGTGAGTTTGTCGATGATTGAATGCCATGTGAAATTCGAGGACAACTTCCTGGCCAAGACGAACAACAAGCGTTCGTACTTTACCTTGTAGTGAGTGTCCTAGCACCTGGGCGGCCAAGGTATAATGTACCTAAGGTAAGGTAGGTAAGGTACCTACGCTCACAGCTGTCGGTACACTAAGGTTCCTACCTACCCGACATGACCCACTTCACCTTCGACATAGGTAATACTGAACTAAATAATGACATATCCATCGGTTCTGCAAGTTCAGCCTCGTATCCCAATAGCCCATCGTTGGAGCTCAGCAAGTGTTGCCCATCATGTGCGTCGAACCGCAAGAGACAGAACAACGGTATGATAGGCCTGTCCCACGCCCTCCAAGGCCGCCCACCAAATCCAACCATATCCGCTCCCACAACCGCCGCCGCGAATTTCTCACCAGAAATCCCCAATACTTCCAAAACTCAGAACACCAGCTAGCAGGTCGGTCTATCGCGTTGTTCACACGGCCACATATCATCTACGTTTCGAGACGCTCATAAGAACATCATTCTAGATCCTCTTCTCTACGACACCCTGGTCCGCAGGTTTCAGACGCCCGCAGAGCGAGAGGCAGATGGCCGAGCCAAAAGCTACTCCCGTGTTTTAGAGGAGTCGTTGCTAAGGGGAGAGGCCCGCCTTGCCGACCTCAACAAGTCTTCAGCTATTGGCGGTGATGCTGAAAAGATTGACTGCGCCAAAAGCTTCACCACAGAATCTGATCTTTCCAAAACACAGAATAAGCAGGATGGGCTGGATAGATGGACTGAGTTTCTGACTGAACGTTTTGTTCACGGTCATGATGACGATTTCGACTACACACAAGTCGATAACAACGACGAATACGACGACATGGAGAGACGCGACGCCGAGGACGCATGGTTTGATGCGGAAGATCCGAGTTGGGCTAGCGACGCGGAAGACGACCAAAATGGCCGTGTCAGTCATGGCACGCAAAAGCGAGGAGAAACTGGTATCCAAGACTTCTGAACTGGGTGATGAAGCCGCCACGAGCGATTCACTTTGAGATTTTCGTATTTCACAGTCTCCGCTCCCGATTCGACATCTCGTCGCGCCATCGTTCTTTCCATTCTCATCTTATTCAGCTCGGCTAAACTCGTCTTGCCGTGACGCGGGCCGTAGCCTCCCGTCCACCATCTTCAAATCCTCGACAGAACTCACATGCTACGCTGAGCGAATGGGCGTCACCCCGGATTGGGCGTTGTCGCCGTGATGGAAATTTGCTCATCTCTTCATATGCTTATAGACGGCGTGCAGTATGCTAGCTGAGCAAATCCCACGACGTCGGGGCGACTCCCGTCAGGCTTGGCGGTGACCCCGCTGTGAAGTTGGGGCGCGTCCTGGACAAGGTCCAGGATGGGATAAACCGGGAAAATGCGCTGGATAAATTCAAAGGACGCTGGCTAGCCGTCCCGCAAATTCCACCTTACCGGGCCAGCTTGTGTCGGCCATATCTTCCACAACCGCAGTCCCAATATCCATGGGTGGGGAGCGAGATTCCTACGAACATATTTAAGAGCCTCCCTTCCTCTCTCTCTAGTGCTGATATCGTGTGAAGAAAACGTCCTTCGGATATCTCTGTCGTCGGCAAGTTGTGCTTTCGAAAAGAGAACCAGCCACCAGAGGGTACAACTAACCCCAAACTTCGACCGCCCAAACCCCCGCATTCAACCCCGCAGTAGATCGCTACTTCCCCTCTCCCTCTTGTCCCCTTGTTGTGTCAGTCCCCATCCTCCACGATGGCACCCCTCATCGATCACATTTACACGGCCGACCCCTCAGCTCATGTCTTCAATGGCAAAATTTACATCTACCCCTCTCATGACCGTGAGACGGATATTCAGTTCAACGATAATGGCGACCAATATGACATGGCCGACTACCACGTCTTTAGCACCTCGTCGCTGGATCCTCTCGAGCCCGTCGTAGATCACGGTGTCGTGCTGAAGACAGAGGACGTTCCGTGGGTTTCGAAGCAACTCTGGGCCCCCGACGCTGCCTTCAAGAATGGAAAATACTACCTGTACTTCCCTGCTCGCGACAAGCAAGACATCTTCCGCATTGGCGTCGCGGTGTCGGACAAGCCTGAGGGCCCTTTCACCCCTGACCCTGAGCCTATCAAGGGTAGTTACAGTATCGACCCGGCCAGCTTCGTCGATGATGACGGGCAGGCATATCTCTACTTTGGTGGTCTGTGGGGCGGTCAGCTGCAATGCTACCAGAAGGGTAACGATGTGTTTGACCCCGAATGGCTAGGCCCTAAGGAGCCCAGCGGCAAGGGGGTTTTTGCTTTAGGTCCCCGTGTCGCCAAGCTCACAGAGGACATGCACCAGTTTGATGGCGAGGTCCAAGAAATCCTCATCCTTGACCCCGAGACGAAAAGGCCTATTCTGGGTGATGACCACGAACGTCGCTTCTTCGAGGCTGCGTGGATGCACAAGAAGGATAACCTCTACTACTTCTCCTACTCGACGGGTGACTCTCACTACCTCTGTTACGGAACAAGCGAAAGCCCTTTTGGTCCCTTCACCTACGGAGGACGCATTCTTGAGCCTGTTCTTGGCTGGACGACACATCACTCGATCGTGGAGTTCAAGGGCCAGTGGTGGTTATTTCATCACGACTGTGAGCTGAGCAATGGCGTGAACCACCTGCGATCCGTCAAGGTCAAGGAGATATTTTATGATGCGGAGGGAAGGATCATAACGGAGAAGCCTTGATAGATGTGGCGTGAAGCAAAATGGATTTTCAATTTCTGATCTCTCTCTTGACCATACTTGTTTTTGTACCGTCTCAACAGGTAGTACTTGTAATAATCCTCCAACCAAAATGACTACTTGACCCTGATATCCTTAAGGGCTTACAGTAGAGAACCAAGAATTGGCTACGGCGATTTGACTCCAATTCCTATTTCCCGTCGCTCATGCTGACAGACTTCGAGTACATAAAGTGGTGTTTGCAGCGAGGCATTATGAAATAGTATACTAATAGCAAGGGGTTGCGGGGGGTATATGGGGGTAAATAGGAAAGCTAGGCAAATACCTATGACAAAGGGAAGAGAAGAAGACAGGAAAATGAAAGAAACCCGTATGAGATAGGTAGGCCGATAGCCGCTTGGGTTCGTTAGGCTGTCTCAACAACGCCAAAACGCAGCTTATTCAAAGCCTCTTCGTACTTTGCGGGGCTGTGGTCGATCAGCATGCTCGTACCAAATCGCACCTCTCTAAACCTAGACTCAACATTTCGGACGTATTTGAGAACAATTCTTTGAGCCGGCCTGCCTATGTCTTCTTCATCGGACAAAAGAAAAGCGTCCCGCCTCAAGACTCGCGTCGACTCCACTAGGAAGACTTCGCCGGGGGGCAAAAGCTTGAGACTCATCATGTTAGAGCGCAGAGTCGTCAGCGCCGATACACTCCACTTATCCTCTTCGGCAGAGCTTGAGCGGCTGCTATTTGTGTACCACTTGTCGGCCAGACCGGACTGGAAAGCCTGCCAGATCCGCTGTCTCACCTCGCCCTTTGCCTCGTGGTTGTCGCTCTTGAATGCGAGAGCGACAGCTTGAAAGTCGTGGAGCACACCCAATGACAGAAAGGGAACCAAGTCGCTGCCGTGGACGACACTTGTAACGAGCCCTCTGGTGGCCTTGCGCAGCGATGGCGACATGGTCCCCGGCGGCCCGTATGCATATACATGAATGGGACGACCTGACGGCAAGCACACATGCGTTGTATCGGTTTGCAAGAAGCGGCCATCTCCAAGGAGGCGGCGGTGAGGCTCGGACGATGTGACGAAGCCTGTGCCGGTGGCAGAAGGCTCTGCAAGCATCGTTCCGAGGAGTGCGGTGACTCCGCCGCCGAGTGAATGGCCGCAAAGGACCAGCCCGTAGTCACTGAATTCGTCAAGTGCTTCCTTCAGCGTATACAAGACGCGGCCATCGCCACCGTACAGCAAACGCCGGGCAGACGCGTGGATGCCCTTATGAACCTTGTACGACTTGCCCCTCCAGTACAAGTTGTCGTAATCGCACGCCATGTCAGCCAAGACATCTTCAAAGCCAAGTGTGCCACGACATGCCAGTACGACTGCCTTAGACTCATGGTCTAGAGAGATATAGTGCACCAAAGGAACTCCGGTTCCTGTCGAGCCAGTCGTGTCAGAGCCACCTTGGGGATCAACAAATGAAGCAAGCAGAATGCTCGCGGCTTCGGATTCGGTATGGTGGGCAAAAGATCGTATCTCGTGATGGGTGTCATCTAAAGCTCTCAGAATGGGCATCTCTTTAGAGATACCCATGAACTTCAGAAAATTGGATCCATATGATGCTGATGAGAACCGCATATACCGTGTGACGTTGCGAAGGAGATGGAATGCTGGGAAAACTCCATCCACAATGCCAGCCCTTCTCAGGGTGTCGATGGCCTCCGAATCCGTGTAAGCACTCTTTTGGTAGTATGAAGATAAAACCAAAGACGTTTGCGAGCCCGTTGTCGCGATGCTGTATAAACTCGGAGTGTTGACATGGGAGCGAGCTCTACGGGACTTCATGGGGGAAGAGGGCTTCTCATTCATATCCCGTTCTGATCTAGACTTGGGAATGCCATTCTGACCTTGACCATCCCGACGGCCGTAGGCTGGAGAATGCGGCCGGTATCCGTCAAACGTATGAAAAGAATATGTATCTGTTTGCGAGACTACCGAGTCGCGCCGACGCTCGTGCACAGAGATGTAACTAGCCCGTGACGAGCTGCGTGGAACAGGAGAGGGCACGTCGTAGTTGCGGCCACGCGAGTTCGACGCGGCAGTAGGCCCCATCGCTCTGCTTTGAGACGGATGGCTGGTGGGCGCCGGCGTACGCGTGGCCCTTTCTCGGAGAGGGGCTTTCGCTGCTGGCTTCACCTTCCCGGATGAGTGAGAGCTCCCAGGACCTGGCCCGTCCCGGCTGAAAAGATTGGAAATGTTAGAACTTGTGCCCCTTTTCAATGCTTGTCTGATACCGCCCTTCTTCTCGGAAGGTTTTTCAGAAGGCTTGCCAGACGAGGCAGCTTCACTCTTGGCCCTCTTGGGAGTGTATTTGTTATCAGATTGCGACGGGGCAGTCACTTCTTGTCGTGGTTTGACAGGGAGAGGTGCTAGAGGTGCACGTTGCCGCTTCTGGTTGGGAGCGTTCTCCGGGTTCTGTTTCGGGGTGGGAATCTGCGAGGCTCGGTTTGCCGAGGTAGGCGAGGATAGTCCTGGTCCTGCCTTCGCACGTCGGGGAGTAGGATTAGGCGTCACCTCCTGTCCGGGCATAGAGGAAGGGCTCCGTGATGGCAAAGACTTGGGCGGTACCGGTGGCGGCTCCTCGAAATCAAGCTCCCGGCCGTGATCATCAGACTCCTCAGTATCGTCCATGCACTCCACTGACCCTGCAACGTGCTCTGGCTCTTCGAAGCCCCGGTATGTTGTACTTCGTTGCTTGTTCTTGTCCACGCGGTAGACCACGCGATATGTCGGGTTGTCGGTCTGGCGTGCCAGCTCCACCTGGCGCTCGGACGATGGGAGAACTTCGCGCTCGACGACCTCAACTCCTGGAGGGGGTGTGACCATGGGGGGTTCGGGACCAGTGAAGTCGACGGTGATCATTTTTCTCGTCAGAGTCGTGGTGGATATGGACACGCTCGTATCCGACGGCAAGGTTCGCATGATTTGGTTCTTGAGGCGTATTTCCGGGAGATCATCGTCTTCATCTTCACTTGTGTCTTGGCCCCCGTGACGTTCGAGAGCGGCCAGAACATTGGGATTGGACTGGTCGCTGGGCATTGACACCAGGATGTCGGGGCCCTTGCTCTGATAACGACCCTTGTGAACGCCATATAGACTGTTCTCGTGTACATCCACCCGTTCCCCATCGTTCAGCACGACGACGTCCCAAACAATCTCCTCAAAACCCAGACGGCGAGTTTCCTCCTCCAGAAAACGGCGGCATTTGCGTTGCAAGTACGCCAGAGCACACAGGCCCATGACCAGATCGACAACCCCTACTTGTTCGCCCTCGACCCCGGTTGCTGGATTCTGAAACTCGCGACGAATAAGAGTGATGATACTCGCTATGGCACGAGAGGAGTCGGTGGAGCCGAAAAACTGATCGAGAGATGACAGCAGCAGCTGGGATATCTCGGACACAACAGAGAAGGTGGTACCAGTCATCTGAAAGCCGGTAGTGGTCCAGAAGACGATCTGTGACATGGCATGGTGGAGATGCTCTAAGCTTCTTTCCAGAACGGTCTCGGCGTCCTCCCTGGCCAGGTCGCTGTTGGATCTGGTGAGCATATCCCTCCCGGCCCTGCTGAGAATGCCTTCGAGGAGACCGCGCCCTAGCTCCAGACTGGAAAGGGTCGTAAACTTGGCAGCATCAAAGCCATAGGAGCTGAGGAGAGTGCCAACTCGGATGGCAAGACACGTCGAACGGGTAGCCAAGCTAACGGCCTTCGCAAAAGGAGCTGGGAGCACAGTCCGGCCCTGCTGGGACTCGAGAGGAACATGGACCAAGCAGTGGGAGTTTTCGTCTAACTCGTCGTCTGAGTCCATTGTTTGTGGTGTCAATGCCGCTGGCGACGCCAATGCGGATGTGAATGTGGGCGCTGCAGCTCGCATACGGAGGTATGAGCATCGAACGAAGACAGGCAACGGCGTATAGTTTCTGGGTGTCAAGCTGGTTCAGGTTGGAACAGATGTTGCGGACATGTTATGCTTGGCACCCTGCCACAACTCTGGTTAGTTTGAAAGAGTATGTTTCGTTGCGTGGTATCTGATAGACCAAGATGGCGAAGAAAGCGTGGTCAGGAAAAGAGAGGTAAAGCAAGAGGGAGACTTCGCAACGCAGTCAGCCTTGACACAGGCGTCAACCAGGAAGCATAAATAAAAGAAGAATGAGAAGAAGCATAGAAGAAGCGGCAGTAGGGTTTAGACGAGATAATGTGACATGCAGAAAGGGAAGAGGCAGGTTGGCGGACAGTGGCAACATGCGAGCGAACGCAAGTGTGCAGACGGGCGGGAGAAGAGAGCAGAGCAAAACTAAGTAATGTGCTTGGGAGAACCAGCAGGCCCAAATAGGCAAAGCAGGAAACAAGAGTCGAGTACATACGTGAGTACCTAGCCCAGCGCACAGGACCGCGGGGGCGTAGAACAAGGTCGGACGGCGGCACTGGGAATGGAGGAGATGGGAGGGCAGGGCAGGGTAGCACGGTAGGTAGGTAAGGTATGTAGGTATTGGTAATACCTATTGCGAGAAGGAAAGGGAGCCCTTGTGGGCGTGGAGGAGGCAAGGAAGGGACCCTGTCCGGTATGTTTTGGCGTAGGTACCTTCCTTGGGAGAGACGGGGAGTCGGAGCAAAATGTGTTGACCTGGGCTGCGCGGATCAGCGCGCGTCCCCGATCGCTGGGTTGACGTGTTGAGCCGCTGCCGCGCCAGGGCTCCAATAGGAGCAGGTGGGACGTTAGGTTGGGTGTGGCAGCATGTGATTGCATTTTGTGGGGGATGTTCATGCGCAAGGACGGCGGCGAAGACAGAGACGGCGCTGGGGACGGCGGCCATTGGGGCTTCCCACTGTTTGAACTTGCGAAATGGAGGGGGAGAGGAGGCAGTTGTGAGGGGAGGGGAGGGCATTACTTTAGCGTAGCGTGATGGATGGGGTTGGGATACCTTACCTACTATGCACCTACTATGGTACAGGATGGGATGGGATGGGATGAGATGGGATGGGACGGCGGCGGCCTCCTCGAGTTCGTTCGTGATGGATTCGCCCAGCCCCAAGAGGCTCGCCGACCAACGCTAGCACACCCTAGGCAAGCCTGGCGGAAGCATCTCGATTAAGGGGACGGCCGTGACCATGGCGTGGCACAAAGCCTCGATAACGTCAATGGCAAAGTACAAGCCGTTGTAAGGTACAGTACCTTAGCTGTGCTTCTTTGATACCTAAGGTACCTAAGGTACCATACCATAGATGGACGTCCAAGCCCGAGTTGACCTATTCTTTCTGCAGGCAGGGTGTTGGGTGCCTTGCAGAACGTCCGTCTGCCCGAGGCGGTGCCTTACTTGGAACCCGAGGCGAGGTTTCTCACCAGACTGTGTGTGGCTGCCATCCAAACACTCCTACCTTGGACGCTAGAAAACAAGCTGAAACTGTGGCATTCATCGTCATTCCCCAGCCCATCCGGATCACCATGTTTTGTTTCCTGTAGTGCGGTGCAGTTCCTGTTTGTGGCTGGCCATTCTTCTCCCCATCCTTGCATCATCTGTGCGGCTCATGCAACCATTATTGCAGTACCTGCCTTGATGCTCTCCAGCATGCGTTCCTCCACGTTGTGTACCTATATAAGTGGGTAAGTGCCTAAACGCTAGGCCTGATTATTTCTCTGCCTTCATGTGAATCTGTCATCCTTTTCTCGAAGGCCCTCTTATCTTCAAATACCTTGCTGTCCACGACGAGCCGGGAACGGTGCTATGAATAGATGCGCGCAGGCTAAGCCGCCAGATCATCCCGTCCAGTGAGGGTTGGGGGCAAGGGGGGGGGGCCCATCAGCACTGATGGGCCCCCCTTTTCCATGGATTGCTTTGTGCTGCTCTACGGATATTCTAGTACTCGTACCTTTGGTGGAAATAAGCTGCAGCTGCTGCAGCTGATTGTATGCCATGGCACTTGACAGCCAATGAGGTGCCACAAATTGCCGGCCTGCAAAGGCGGAGGATGGCAGACATCTGCAGTCTGCAGTCGGCTTTTGTGGTAAGGGGCGCAGTTGACCATTTCAGGACCCGGCAAAGCGAGCTGCGAGGCACCTAGGCACCTAGAGGTACGGATTCAGGCTCCCGTCACACCTCCCCGCCAGCTTGGAAGCTCAGCACAGCACGACACAGCACAGCACGACACAGCACAGCACCAGGGTTCAACATCCAGTCCCCGTATTTGTACCTTACCCAAGGTATGGTTACGTTACCGTACCTGACCAGGTTGCCTGAGATCTGCGATCCAATGTGGATGTCGCCCAGTCCGGCGGAGAGGGGACTAAGTCTGCAAACATCGCGTCAATAAACCACAACATCTCCCCCCTTCTCGCTTCTTTCGCCTTCTACTTTCCTCCCATCCTCTTTTACAGCCCCTCCATCGCGTGGCCTTCACCGCTTCGCTGTCTTTCTCCCTCGCTGACCCAACAACGAACGTCTGCTTCTCGACTCTGTTCCTCCCCCCAACGAAATTCGTCACCGCTTCACTCGTCTTCCACCAAGCCCTCAACTTGCGCAGCATAACTTCGATTTCGATCCAACCCGATCACTGCCCCCCTGCTATCGAGGCCGAGTCTCCGGAGGTTGCAACGCGCAGAAGCTCCTTCACAATGGCTGAAACGGGCCTCTTCTCCGATAACCTCATCTCTCCCGCTGTTGCCTCTGCGCTGCCCGAAGGCTACGTAGTTCGCGCTCTTCGCCTCTCCGACTACAATGCTGGCTTTCTCGACTGCCTCCGCGTCCTGACCACCGTCGGTGAGATCAGCGAGTCCCAATTCGCCGAGCGCTACAACTGGCTATCCAAAAGCGACGGTTACTACATCCTCGTCATTGAAGACACAAGCAGGAAAGCCGTTGTTGGAACCGGTGCCTTGATTGTCGAGCGCAAGTTGTGAGTTGTAGCCGCCGCCTCTCAGCTCCGCGCTTGCCGCAGAAGATGATTGCTGACCGCACATTTCCCCTCCGCGTAGCATTCACAGCCTGGGTCTGGTTGGCCACATCGAGGACATTGCCGTGGCAAAGGACCAGCAAGGGAAGAAGCTTGGTCTGCGTATCATCCAGGCCCTTGATTTCATAGCCGAAAAGGTGGGCTGCTACAAGAGTATTCTCGATTGCAGCGAAGCAAACGAAGGCTTCTATGTCAAGTGTGGGTTCAGGAGAGCCGGCCTGGAGATGGCCCACTACTACGAGGGAGACAAGAGTAAGGCCCAGTAGCCTGCCACTTTCCTATTCATGACTCCGATCGCCGACATCTTGGGGTGTCATGTTGCGTCGTTCCCCGCCGTGCAGTCTCTTCGCTGGGATCGAATCAACTTGACGCGCCTTGTCAGTGCAGCCCGGCTCATTACCCCGTTGTGCCAAGGCGAACTCGGATTGCATCGGTGACTGCTGATGATGGGTTCCCGCAGGACTGAAGCTCTAGATCATGCGAGCACCGAAGTGCACCGAACTTGCTTCGGTGGATGACGAGATCGACAAGTAAGAGCGACAGAGACATGGGAACGATAGATGCTCGCTCACGGATCATGCCTTCCTTAGCCTCGTGTGTTTACCTAATACTACTATTAGTTGCAATCCCTTGGCTGCAGCGCAATGATCAAAACAAGGTAAACCGCACATCAGCTGGTCCCGACCGCGCTACCTCAAGCGCTTCTAGCCCGTCCGTTCCTACCTTCGGATGACTGCCACACTGCCTCACTGCCTCACTGCCTCACTGTGACTCTATGTGAGGAACCAACATGGCTGCTCGCAATGAGTGGCTGGTCAGCCCGTCGTAATACGCAATCAGCAAGACCGCTGCTGAGTACTGGCTGCTTCAGACAGGATTGGTCCTACCGTCGCCAAGGATGAGGTTGCCTACCCACGCACCAAGACCACCTTCAGGGTCTAGCCGTTGTGTCTGTCTGTCGCAGCTGGTCGGGGCGTCCACCATCGCGTCTTGGTCGAAGAGCGCTGTGCCCCGCGTTTCACTTGCCATGAGTCGGATCAGACTCACCAGAAATGCCATGTACAAACAGGAAGGCACACCAGCGTCGCGCAGACAGCGTGTTGAACATGGTTCACTCGGCACCTCAACTGCGCTTGCTTTTTTCTTTCCTTCGTGTGTTGTGGTTTGAGAACATTGACTCAAAGTTCATTCGAGGACAGTGAGATCCAAAGACACAAGGACAAAGGAGGGTCCGGATCCGGCTGAGAAACACAATGCACCAGTCCGGGGGATCTCCGTCATCAACCCAGTTTTCCCGCTTCCTTCGGAGCTCCCGTGCTTTTGTCCACCACCTTGGACGCCTGAAGAATCTGACGTACCATACCTGACACTTCTGGGCTTGCACAATTGTCAGAGTCAGGACATGAAGCGCCTCACAGATCTTCACATGCGTGGCCAAAGCGCTGTCCGTCGCAGATGAGCTGACAGAACCCATCCTGATCGATGCGCCGCCCGTCCCGTTCGTATAAGACGTGCGCCGGTCTCCATGTCCCCTTTATTGGTCTCTCGATCGGACAACGGATATCCCCAACTACAACAGTCCGAGAAGCCACTACCGAAGTATATCAAGCCTGCAAGTCCACCCCTTAAAACTCCGAGCGCGTTTTCATTGGATCCCGAAAAGGCGACTGCGGATCGAACGTTTTCCTACTTAAATTAGCTCTTTGCGCCCGTCTTTCTGGTCTGGTTTTCGTCATGATTGAAGACTTGCATTGTGCCATTGCTCGCGTGCGAATTGCTTCACTACAGTCAGAGTAAGTCTTCTGTATATCCAACGCCGGCAATCGACCCCGGCTACTGACAGACATGGCCGGCCCACTGATGTTGTAACTCACGAATTATAGAGTCATTAATAAATCGGCCAGTCGCGAGGTCGTACGTCGAAGAAGCAACAAAGTGAAACCCATCTTCATCGCCAAGGGTCGACCACCACTTTTCACGAAGCAAAGAACCGTCCGCGTAATATCTTGAAAGTAATCCAACATGTCGCCGCACAAGCTTCCTGAGATGGATGGTAAGCGGCAATGGGTGATGGGCACTGAAGCCTTCGAGCGCAAGATGCCTCACCACCAGGGAATTAAGGCTCTCTGGGAAACCAAATGGAAGTTTCCGGTACGCTCCCGTGGCAAATCGTCACAAATTTTCCGTTGACCATCATAGTGCACCAAGAGCGTCTACCCTTTCCATGACGGGCAGTATGAGGACTTTGAGCCTATATTCGAGCACTTGATCAAGGTATGTTTACTAGATATCGTGACCTTCAAATTGTGACGGAGATTTTAGGAAAACATCAATGACGGAACTTCTACTGCATACACTGAGGCCTTCTTTCCGATCGCAGAGGCTCTGACAGCCAAAGGCGACAGGGCGGCGGCTGCAGGCAAGAAAGACGAAGCCAGCGATCTGTACCTCCGAGCATGCACCGTGTACCGCATAGCGCGGTTCCCATACATCACGGCGTACCCTGAAGTCAGCTGCCCAGTCAAGTGGAAGGCGTGGGAGGCTCAGAAAGAGGTTTACATGAAGGCGGCCCAGTCATGGGATTGCCCCATCATTGATATCTCCATTCCGCACAAGCATGCCAAGGGTGGTGACCGAAAGTCCATTCCGTCCTACGTCAGAGTTCCTCACGGCGCCTCCAAGAGCAATCCTAGCCCAGTCGTCATTCTGATGACTGGTCTTGACGGCTACCGTCCTGACAATACGGTTCGCTCAAATGAATTCCTCGCGCGCGGCTGGGGAAGCGTGATTGTCGAGATCCCCGGAACCGCCGACTGCCCCGCTGACTCCGCCGATCCGGAGAGTCCTGACCGTTTGTGGAGCAGCGTCCTAGACTGGATGGCTGCCGATGGCCGCTTCAACATGGACAGGGTCCTGGTTTGGGGCCTTAGCTCCGGCGGGTACTACGCCATTCGCATCGCGCACACTCACAAGGACCGCCTGATCGGATCGATTGCGCAAGGGGCCGGTTGCCATTATTTCTTCGACCAGGAATGGTTGGAGAAGGCTGACGGACACGAATACCCGTTCTTGTGAGTGGACAGACGTATCAAACATTGCGAATGTTGAGACTGACGAGGCATAGGTTAACTCCGGCGATGGCCATGAAACATGGCTACAAGACGGTTGCTGAATACAAGGCGGGTGTGCAAAAGAAGTTCTCTTTGCTCGAGACCGGGATTATCGATAAGCCGTCCACCCGTTTGTTGTTGATCAATGTACGTCCACACACCTTGCCGGAGAGATCTCTTCGACTAACAAAATCAGGGTACACTTGACGGCTTGATGCCTATTGAAGACTCGATGATGCTATTTGAGTACGGTACGCCTAAGGAGGCCAGGTTCTTCTCGGGAGCCTTGCACATGGGATACCCCATGGCCAATGCATCCGTGTATCCTTGGATGGAGAGCGTCATGGACAGCAAGATGTAAATACGGCTACTGCACCGGTGGCTGCAACAAGAACACTCAATTTTATGCGGGCACACCAGAAACTTGTCGTCAGCGAGAACGGTGATCATAAGCGAAAGTGAACGGAGTGTTTTCTGGATGTTTTTCCTTCTTTCCCTTTCTTCAACCACCTTTAATTAAAGTCTTGTTTTCGTGCAGTGGCCGCACGCTTATCGGCCCATCCAGCCACCGTCAACGACCAAGACGTGGCCGCTCACGTAACCGCTGGCCCTGCTGGAAAGGTAGACTGAAGTGCCCTTGAAGTCATCAGGCGTGCCCCAGCGACCAGCGGGGATTCTCGCACTGATGCTGGCCAGTCTCTCCTTGTCATTGAGCAGGGCCGTGTTCATCTCGGTCTCGATGTAACCGGGCGCGATGGCATTGACTGTGATACCCTTGGAGGTCCACTCGTTGGCGAAGCTCTTGGTCAGCTGGGCAACAGCGCCCTTGGAGGCGGCGTAAGCCGGGACAGTGAAGCCGCCCTGGAAAGAAAGCAGGGAGGCGTAGTTGATTACACTGCCTTTGCGGCCGGTAACGGGTGAAGGCTCGAGAGTGAGCATGTGGGCGCCGACGTCGCGGGTCAGGGTAAAGACGGAGTTGAGGTTTACTTGGATAACCTGCGTTGGCGAGCTCCATTAGCTTCCAGACATGCACCGAGGCGATTGCTTCGCTCAATTGACCTACGGCATTGAAATCATCATCAGGAAACTTCTCGCACGGATGGCGCTTCTGGATGCCGGCGCAGTTGACGAGGATTCGAATCTGGTGGCCGTCCTTGAGAACTTTGGGTACGAGAGCAGCAACGCTCTGTTGTGAGCTGAGATCTGCCGTGTAGATCTGAGCCTTTCGGCCTAGCTTCAGAATTGAGTCTCTGGTGGAGGTGTTAGACTCGTCGCGCTGAACGAGAAGAACGTCTGCTCCGGCCTCGGCGAGACCAATGGCGACGGCGGCACCAATGCCCCGAGTGCCTCCAGTGACGAGGGCGGTGTGGCCCTCAAGGGAGAAGAATGGCGAGGCCATGGTGTAGATTACGATGTAGGCGTTCTGCGGATATCACGAAAACATGGGTGGGAAGGGAGGGAGATTGTGCTGAGAGCGTGTCCAACGAGGGGTATTTGAGTGATGAGAGGCTTTACGCAGCACACTCAGCTAGCTTGGGGTGGGGGGATGGAGAAGATGAATGCGACTTTATTGGACGAAGGGGCGGCGTCGTGTAGGTAGGCAGCAGGGTCAATGGTCTTCGGGCAAGTTAATTCAGACCGTAACTGATGGGGATTCACAGTGGAAGCTTGGATGAGCTTGTGACGATGGCCGCGAGGTGCCCCTCACGGGCCATGCTTGGACGGAAGAAAGGTTACTCGCCTGTGCCGGGGTGGTTAACGGATTCAAGCGACGTTTATTTCTAGAAGGAGCTGAAGGCGACGGATTAGCTCGGTGAATGGCTGAGACGGCTAGAGATGGTCATAACCCGCGGAATGGGTCATGATTCAACCACACGGCATGAAACATGTACACTGCACATGAGCAGCTTGCGGCAGCAAACGTTGAAGTCAAGACTACAACAGTCATTACCCCTCAGCTGCGGGGATCCGCGACAGCAGGGGTCGTCTCCAACCACGTCGCCCTGTGACGTCGTTTGGTTTGGACAATGCGCTTGCAGTTTTTCTTGTCGTCGACATTTGTTTACTGTGGGAATGTCTCATGAGCACGCGGCATAGTGAACGAGTCGGGGTAATTGTCAGAGCTGGGTTGCTCCTGATACCAAAGATTGTGCGAAGCCCCGCGAACACCATCACACGGCTCGATTGACTCGGCTCTGGTTAGGTGGGAATTGTTTTTTCTTTTCCCCAGGGCAGGTGCATGGCTCTCCGGCCCCCCACGTAAGGATGTGACGGGCTGCCCGGTCTGCTCCCCGCATATCGGAGCTTCAGAGCGGGGGAAACACAAGAAACCGTCAACGGCAACTGTCGGTCATGGTCCGTTACAATCTTTTGTGCTTTTCAGCAAAGCCAACAGAAGCCGAGTCTTGTGCGAATCACCGGCGGTCTAATTCTTGTCAGCATCAATCCAAGACGCGACGAGCTCTGGGCTGCCCTGAAGCAGGCAATGGAACGCAACATGGAAGGCATGTACACTGACCTGGCGCAAAGCTTTAGGACATAATTGCCCTCTTGGGTCTTCGCGGCCATTTTCTCCAGCTCAAGCGTCTCCTCGAACGCCGCTACCTGAGGGTACGCAGTATCCGTAGACCCTCATGTTTCGGCGGGCATTGCCTGGAATGGATGGGGGTCAGTTCTCCACGAGCACTTACCCCTCCCCCTCTTCTTCCCCTCCACTAGGTCCCGACTCCCAGCACATAGGTACCTACTTACTGCAAAGTAAGGCAAGGTCAGGTATTCACGATGGCTTCCTCGTCTTCGCTGCCGGACAGAATGCCGAGCCAATGACCACACCTACCTAGCCCAGTGTTCGACTGGCCTTGACCAAGTTCCACGTCTCCACCACCCCACACAAACTGGGTTTATGACTGCGGTGTGTCTGCGTCTCTGCTCTCCCCAACACTCGTTGCCCACTCGTACCCAGTACTTGTGCCTGTCGCCGTACTCCCCACGTCCGAGGGGCTAGTGTAGTGTCGTGGTCGACGCTGTGTCTGAGAAGTTGGGGAGCGATTCGGCGGCAGTTCTTGTACTCGAGCTTCAGACACAACTCGGCCTTGGAATCCCGTAACCCTCGGCCTTGCTCCCCCACTGACAAGTGAATTGCCTCCTCAGCTTCTCGACACGAACCCGCATTTCCGACCTGCATCGCTCCGCTCGTCGCGTCCGCCTCCAATCGCCCCCTAGCGTCGTGCCCTTCTTTTCAATCGTGTTATCCGATCCGTCGACATCGGATCTGTCGCCGTGCTCCCTGAGTCCCTCATCGCCTCGGCTTTTCAACAAAACAATCAGATAATTGCCCCCACTACCCTCGCACTTCTGTGCCTTTCCAACGTGCTGCTACTGCTGTTTCTTGCTGTCGTCTCTCTAAGCCTGGTTGCCTCCGCTTCACGTATCCATCTTCAATCTAGTTACTATCCTCGCCGCCATCGCATAAGGGCGCAATCATCATGTCCAGCGTTCAAGTTCAGACCTCCGTGCTCCACGGCGCGAGGGATCTCAAGATTGTCAGACATCCCCGTCTCAGCTGACAATCGACATTCTGAAGGCTAATTGGCGCAGGAAGAAAGAGCTCTGCCTGCTCTTGCAGCTGGCGAGGTCCAAGTCGCTGTCAAGGCTACGGGACTCTGCGGTTCCGACTTGCACTACTACAACCACTTCCGCAACGGCGACATTCTCGTCAAGGAGCCCCTTACTCTTGGCCACGAATCTAGCGGTATCGTTACTGCTGTCGCCTCTGATGTCACAAACCTTGCCGTCGGAGATCACGTTGCGCTCGAGGTCGGCCAGCCATGTGAGGCCTGTGACCTGTGTGCCGTTGGGCGATACAACATCTGCAAGGGCATGAAGTTCCGCAGCTCTGCCAAGGCCTTCCCTCACGCTCAGGGAACTCTTCAGGAGCTCGTCAACCACCCTGCCAAGTGGTGCCATAAGTAAGATATAAAACCCGTGACATTGAAAGGTCTAGAGGGCTACATGCTAACACGAGACGGCGCAGGCTCCCGCAAGAAGTTTCCCTCGAGTTCGGTGCTCTTGCCGAACCTCTCTCTGTTGCCATGCACGCCCGGGACCGGGGCAACCTCCCTAGCGGGTCGACCGTCCTTGTCTTCGGCGCCGGTGCTGTTGGTCTATTGTGTGCCGCCGTCAGCAAGGCTGATCAGCAGAAGGTCGTTATTGCCGATATCCAAGAGGACCGCGTCAAGTTTGCCCTTGACAACGGCTTCGCCGATGCTGGCATTGTCGTTCCGGCCAAGCGCCCTCAAACGATCGAGGACAAGCTGGCCTACGCCCAGGACGTCGCAGGGTTGGTAAAGGCCGCCAAGATCAACGGAAACGAGGTTGGCGAAGTCAACGCGACTTACGAGTGCACGGGTGTCGAGACCTGCATGCAAACATCCATCTATGTGAGCATCCTCAGTCTAGGTCACACAGCTTTTCAGCGCTAACCCATGTATGCAGGCCACTCGTCCCGGTGGAAAGATCCTCATTATCGGCATGGGCACCCCAATCCAGACTCTTCCCATTTCCGCCGCCGCTCTGCGTGAGGTTGACTTTGTGGGCGTCTTCCGCTACGCCAACACATACCCCAAGGCCATCAACCTGATTGCGACGAAGCCAAAGGGTCTGCCGGCGTTGGAGAAGCTGTTTACACACCGTTATAAGGGACTGGGCACCATCAAGGATGCGTTTGACATGGCGGCCAAGGTGAAGGATGAAAGCGGCAACTTGGTATTGAAGGTTCTTGTGGATACATCTAATTAGAGACTGAAATAAAGGTATAGTTTTGGATTTGCGTATTGCACTTGATAGCATTCACAAGGGCGAGTGAGTAACCTCATTGATCACACAAGTTAAGCAATCACCATTGCCTGTGGGAAAGTGATTGCCGTAACAGAGGTCTATGCTGATGGCTTGGTAGAGACCGCGAAATTTTCCCATATTTATGCGGCTACATTTCGTGCGTACTAAATTATCACTATTGAAGACGGAAGTAGAAGTAGTAAAATAATACCAACGACGACAGCGCGATGGTAAGGTAGAGTGTATTACTACAGAAAAAGAAGTCCTAGCTCAAGAAAAATAGGCGGTCTCGCTTGGTATCATGTGGTAACCCAGACTGTGACTTGACGCCATCGCGAATTTCTGCGCGCGCAATTTCTTAGAACTTTCGACGTCACAGTCTCTGTGGGTTTATTGTTCCAGTTTGCGCTCTCAATTATTCTATTCATTTATTTCATATGCAAACTGTGGGCATTATCCTAAGACTTGTCGGGGAATCCAAAGTCAATGCCAAATGGCGGGTAGACGTAACGCTTCAGCTCCTTCTTGGCCGTAAGATCATCCGAGTAGGCGCGAAGCTCCTTCATGTCCTCGTCGTCGAGCTTGACAATTTCGAGGTTGGCCTTGATACGGGCGGGGGTGACGGATTTGGCGATAACAGTGCTGCCACGGGCGACTAAACAGAACAGAAATATTAGCAGACTGGATTAAAAGCGGGAGCTGGACTCGTGGGCATACCGTGGTAGCTGAGGAGAACTGTGGAGGCGCTGACGCCGCGCTTCTCGGCAATCTTCACAACGGGAGCCGCGCTCATAAGAGGCCCGCCGGTAGAGCCGAGCGGGCTGTAAGCCATGATGTGGATGCCCTTGTCCTTGCAAAAGTCGACGATCTCCTGCTGGGGAAGGCTGGGGTGGTTCTCAATCTGATTGACGGCGGGGACGACCTTGGCATGGGGGAGAAGCTCCTCGAGGTATCTCACGCTGTACTGTATGGTTCGTCAGTACATTGAACCATGGGCCTCTTGTCAGGCCGTGGGCAAACAAACTTACGTTGCAGACACCAATAGAGCGAACCTTGCCGGTATCAAGGAGCTTCTCCATGGACTTCCAGGTGTCGACGTGGGAGAAGTCGCGGAGGATGTCACGGCTGCCATCGGGCTTGGTGGGGAACCTGTCGTGGTTTCCTGTGAGGCGCTCATGTTAGTTGGTCAATAGCTGCGGAAACTTCGTCGACGATTCGTCGACGAGGTTGAGAAAACGAACATACCCTCGGGGTTCATGGCAACGGGCCAATGCTGCGCATCCTGTCAGTTTCAACGCAACCAAGGCATTATACAGGTGGCGGCAACCTACAACAAGGAAGAGGTCAACGTAGTCGAGACCCAGGCTCTTCAAGCTCTTCTCAAGGCCAAGCTTAACTCTCTCGTCGCTGGTGGTGTAGGTGGCCCACAGCTTGGTGACAACGTAGATGTCCTCACGTTTGACGCCATTGGCAAAAGCCTCCTTGAGGCCCTGGCCAACCTCGTCCTCGTTGGCGTAGCAGTAGGCACCATCGATGGCCTTGTAGCCGATCTTAAGAGAGTATGAGACGGCCTCCTTGACCTCACCGGGAGCAGATTGCCATGTGCCTTGAGGGGTCTACATCAGCCATTGAGCAGGAGGACGAAGAGGTTTGCATGTCTTACCCAGAGCGACGGCGGGGATCTCGTGTCCCGAGTTGAGCTTGAACGTCTGCGCAGCCATGGTGAGCGTTCGGATGGATGATGGGTATCGAGGTTAACCAAAATGATCGTGGTTCGAAGGGCGGGGGCGGGGTAGTTTGTGTATGGTATTTCTAGTGCGGGAGAGGAGGACAGTCAATGGGAGGAGGAGGGGTTTGAGACGTCACTCACACAGTCCGGGAAAAGGCGTGGACTCTCGGTATATATATCGTCTGCAACCCGAATTGGAAATAAATGTAATCAGGGTTCTGCGTCGCGGTGCTTGACCACAGCCGGGTAAATGCTCGATAAACAGGAGAGCTATCTCTCACCACACGCCCCTCCCTCTGCATCGTCTCCTCGCAGCCAAGGTGCCCGTGAAGGGGCCGCGATTTGCATGTCACACTCGGGCTAGGATGCTACGGCCACCGGGTCTAGCTACTCTGGCAGCTGTATCTGGGGTGTGGACTTCCCCGGTTTGTCCAACTTTGTGCTGTTCCCCTCGTCTCCAGTGGGCCATGGGAGTTCCATTCATGGATAATTCGTTAGTCAACGAGGGTATGCCTCGGGCAGTTTTGGGCCGAGTCATGAAGACAGGACCCGCTATTTGGCTTGGTTTTACTATGCAGTACATACCTCACCTGGTGAGTGCAACTGACTGTGCAACTGTGACACTGTGGGCGATGTCGTGGTCCGTGAGGTGGTTGTTAAGCCCGCGGGGCGGCGGCCGATTTCCGGCGGGTCTCGTTGATAGTTGCCTTTTTTTTTTTTTGCTGCCTCTCTGCGGTAGGTGCTGGCTTCCGCTTGAGGCCCTCCACCTAGTGCGGGAAAACATTCCGGGACCAACCCCGAGCCCACGCCTCTTCGCACCGGCTGCCTGAGCACAGTGTGAATGCCATGAACCAGCAAACCAACAAGTGTGAAATGTACTCTGTACCTGTACCCTGCCATTCATCTGGAGGTGCAGCCGTCCTCGACGGGAACCCACCCCGACGATGATCCCAACCACATGTATTCAGCAATCTTTGGCTGAGGGATCTGGCCAAGGCGTCTACATAAATGCATGGAGCACCCCAAATGCATAGAGGGGGTGCTAACACACCGCAGATGGCAGCTCTTACTATTCGCCGAAGTTAACCTCTTTCGTGATTAATAGATCTAATATGCAAGGAAGAAGCTCTATAGCTGCGCCGCGCCGTCGTCCCATGGTCAATGTCAATGTCCACATCAATGTCATCGTACAATTAGCGGTATCCCTATCCGCTGTGGTGTTACAGAAGCCAATGCTCTTTCAACTTAACTCCCCAAACCGCCGTCAATAATTGCCTCTCAGCCGGCAATGAGCACCCAAAGCCTATCCATTGGTCAGCTAATCTGCAATTTATGGCGTAACGAGGCCGACGGCTTACAGAAAGAAGATCATGAGAACGCCGAACATTTTCTGGTCACCATGTCAGCAAGATCGACGAAACCGACCAGCGGACAGAGTCACATACGGCAATCAACCACCTGTTGCTTGAAACACGGCCCCAGTACTTGAGAAGCTCTACAGTTCGAGTTAGATTCCGCACAAACGGATTAGTCTGTGGGCATTATCGCCTACCTCGTTGCGCCCCTTGAACGTTGTCGACCACGTCTTCCGTGTTGGCATCGATGCGCTGGATCATCTCGCTCTGCTCCGACACCATGGTTGCCAGTTGTCCGAAGATCTGCACGAGAGGGTTAGTCTATAATGCTCGGGTGTACGACGCCCCATGGGGGTGTGCCGGCTTACAGATCCAAGCTCGGCAATCGTGGATTCAATACTCTCGATAGCTGCGCCTCTCTCCTGGATATATGTGTTTTGCGGTTGCGCCTCCTCCATCAGGAGCAGCTGCTGATCCCCTGGGGGGTTCAGCGAGAGGAGGTCGGCTCCAGGTGAGGGTGTTCCTCGTTGCGGCGTGCCATACAAGGGCGATGCCGATTGCTGTAGCGGCGGCTGCGCATGCTGCGAAACGCTCGAAATAAACTAAAGGCGCATTCATTCGTTAGATCCGGCGTCAATCGTACTGGAGGCAAAGGATCAACGCACGTTATCTGTCCGTGATCTGGACGCCTGGATGTTCTTCGTTCTCTCTTCCAAAACATCCTTGAAGTTGGCGGAAACGTCTGTCAGCTTGCCCTGAAGCATGAAAACAACGTTCTTGTTGTGCTCTCCTTCCTGATCAGCCTTCGGGTGCTGCTGTCGGGTGAGGACCTGCAAGTTGCCAATCTGCTGGTTGAGGGAGCTCAGATCTTGCTTGATGATGTAGGTAAGTTCGTTGATCTCCACCGGCCGGTCATCGAACAGCGTCCTGCGTCGCGCCACTGCGATAGTGAGAGTTAGTACGAGATCTGAACGGAGAATTCAAGGGAAATAGGTGCGTACACGTTGCTAGCTTTTCAAGCTTGCCCATAGTGGCAGAAATTCCCCTCCCGATTTGCGCCGCCTGTCGCGCAAACTCGGATCGCCTCGGCCTGGAGTCGCCATCGGCGGCAGCCTTCTGGGAGTCGGTCAAAAGCGATCGTTGCTGAGCACCAAGTTTGCTCGAGGCTTTGCGACGCTGCGCTTGCGCGAGAACCGACTGGAACTCGGAAGTTCGGTCCTGTATCGAAGCGACTGCCATCGTAGCTTCTATTTGGTCAAGAAGGAGGGGTTCGGACGGGGGCGACCAGCGCTTCGGAATCGGTGAAGAACTTTGTGCAAGATAGATTTTTGCCGTGTCGATGCTCGATACAGGGCCCGAGGTGGATAGGAGTTCAGGGGTGGGAGATTGGCAGGTCGATTCGAGGGCGGTTCGGGCACAGCGGGTGAGTCTCTAATGGCGGACAGCGCTGTTGGGCAGGCAGTTGTACAAGAAAACGAGGCAAGACGGTGCGATGGGATGCGATGCAACACGAGACGCGCGACGAGGCCAGTTGTCGCGACTTGGTCTAAGCGGATATCTCGACGTAGGTTGTGCGGAATACAGGTTGGCCGTAGTTGTCGTCTGTCAGACTTGGAAATTCAGAGTCCGGAGCGTCAGTCTGCTGCAGTCGGAGTGACGGGGCCAGGGTGTCCGATCCAACCGCCAACGTGGTTTTTTTGTTTCGGAACAGAGGCTGGTCTGCAGAGCGCAATTAGAGCGCGCGGCGCACGTGTGGCTCGTACCTTACAGCGTTCCATTATCTGGCGTTGGACCTTCGCCTTCGGCGTCCTTTTAGCGCCTCCTTTGGTACTACCTAGACTACCTACACTAGGTAAGTAGGGACGAATTGATAGGTAAACTTTCTCCAAGTATTACGCACGCACCGCCACATCTAAAAATGGCTGCACGGACCGAGGTGATCCACATTGTGAGATGAACCGCCATCCATGACACCATGCAGCTGGGTACGATGAGAATTCAAGAGCAATCGTGAATGGTGTAGAACCAACTTGCTTACGCCGTACGATGCGTGAAATGAGGCAGTCCGCTTAGTGTGTACAGCAGGCAGCATCGCGGTACCGTGCTGAGATGCAAGTTCGCAAATGAATGTACGCAACGGCTGCGCACCTTTTCTGCTACTTACTACCTTATCTGTAAAGAATGGTGTTGATAGCTTACTAGCGTGCCATGGGTATCCCATGCCACGGAAATACAATGCCAGCCCGCCGTGAGCTACTATGTACAGACGGGACGGGAGTAGACTCTGTCCGCCCCCGTTTGCCGTCCAGTCTGAGGAGATACCTTAGCATGCATAGCCGCGCTTCCGCCCTCATCCATCACAGATCACGCACACAGATGGGCGGACAGGCACCACCGCAATGCCATGCCACAATGCCTCGCTCACCCCTCGTGATTCTTCGCTGCGTTGCATTCCGCCGTCTGCCTGCCTGCGTTTCCTGCAAGTGGATGGGGCGTCCTCGGGCTGCCATTGGAAAGACACCCAGGCTGATCCCCTCTTTTTGAGCACGGCCAACGGCTCCATCCTTTCAATGCCCCGAGTATTCGTCCACTACAGATTCGCTGCATAGTGACATCGAGTCATACTGGCACAGGGATATGACAAGTACACCACGCCAATACGGATTGCGAAAATATGCAGCCCAGCCCAGCCCAGCCCAGCCCAGTCCAGCTGAGAGGCCAACTGGCGGCGTCCGCACTCTGCGCTGCGTTGCGCTGCCTTACGTTCCCCAATGGCTTGACGGGGAATAATCGTAGGCTGATAAGGTGAGAGTAATAAGCTAAGGTCCGCTCCAAGCCACCTCCCCAACAAGCCCCAAATTATCATCCGTCTTGGGTCTAATCGTATTTCTCCAGCAAAAGTTGCGGCTGGTCAGACTGGCGAACTGCACCAACAACATCCACCGAGCCCTGACCCATTCAAGGTAGTGAAGCGACTGTCCAGTCTTGTCTGGACTCGGATCTCTGCCGTCTTCTTGTTGGCCTGCCCCGAGGCTCGTCAACTTGTCCTGTTGTTATTCAATCAAATCAGCGTCGGCCATCCCAACCCGAGGCTGTAGACCATCTCCATTCCCAGTCTCACCCGATCAGTGCCCCATCGAGTGAACCACCGATCGCAGCCGTGCGCCTAACGGTTTTCACTCCCGAGTCGCCTCGCTGCCTCGGATCAACCGGCACCAGACAAGCTTTTGGCAGAGATATGTGGCGATTGACGCTCTTGTCGCGACTACTTTGACGACGCGATGAGCGGCCCGTACAACTATGGCTTCAGGCCTCCCCATGGACAATCGCCTCTGTAAGTTCTCTCCAGCCATGCACTTCTCAAGGCATAGATGCAGGTGCTAATCTCAGTAACCCTCCAGAAGCCCCGAGACGCCGACGAGTGCATACAAGACCAATTTGGGCAGGAAGAAAACTAAGAAATGGGTTGAGGCCAAGGCACAGAACTACGACGGCGATGACTGGGGTAACGACTTTGACGACGAGGAGCCCGAAGAACCGATTCCTGTCCCACCTCTCAAGCCTGCCTCTCGTCAACCGAGTCCTAGCCAGGCATCAACTGCGAATCTACCGTCGAACCTACCGTCACACCAGCCACCTGCGCCTCAATCCGCGGGACTGCCAACGATGCGACCGCCGCAGCCGGCCTTGAACGAGTCGGGATTATCCACCAGCCCTCGGGCCACGGCAGGCCTACCGCCTTTGCGAATCCAGACTCCGTCATCACCCGCGCCTGCGCCTGCGCCTGCGCGCTCCGAACCGCAAAATGTTCAACCTCCGATTGTTTCGGGGCCGTCCTCCATGGACAGTGTTTCTGACAAGGGCCCTTATGAGCAGTTCGTGTCGCCGCAATCTGCTCATACTGGCCCAACACCGGAGCCCTCTCTCGTTCGGAACGAACAATCGCAAAGTGTGATACCTCCGAATGGCGGCCGGCGAACTTCACCAGCGCCGGCGCAACCGCAATCCACCCGATTCCCACCTCGCAAGAGCAGTATGGGCCAACATGACAGTGATCGCCTTCCTAGTTCTCGGTCAAGCTCCACTCATCCTCCACAGGTCGAGCAGCGCTCGGGATCTCCTTCCGGTATCATATCGCCTGGCGCGTCCTCGACTTCGAAGCCGTCTTTTGTTCGACCCTCGGATATCTATCGCCGCGTCGACAGTGAGAAGGATAGGGAACGAGGTTCCATGGACTCGGGACGACCCAGTCTGGATAGCAGCGGCGGCTTCAAGACCGACCGCTCGCTTTCTCCCGCCAAGCCATCCTCTGCTGACACTGGAAGTGGCGAACAAGTGGGTGGCAGCAGTTTGGGAAAGCCTGAAGGAGAAGATGCAATCCAAGGCAATCTGCGACCGACCCTAGCGCCTGTTGCAGAGAGAAAGAGCGAATACGGCTTCGACAACGTGCTTATGCGACCCCAAAACCATGCCCAAAATCAGACAATGCCCCCAAGTTCTGAAAGTCCCAACCTGGGCATTCCAGCGCCCGCGCCTGAACCTCAGATTGAACGTCCTAGTGAGGAAGAAGTTGCTCAACAACGCCGCTACTCGTCCAGTCCACGTTTGCCAGACCTGGCTCGCATGTCTCTGTTCGGGGACGATTTCTTTTCTAACCCCGGTAAATTTGCCGACGATGCACCCCCAATGCCTGCGTTGACGCCACAACTTCAAGCAGCAGCGGCGGCGTCAGCACCACAACATGTTGGAAACCCGCCGGCTGCTCCTGTTGCATTATCGACCGGGAGCTCAACACCCCAACGAGCCGACTCCCCTCGAGTGTCTGAGCAAATTCTAAAGGATTCAACTCCGCCGGCAGAGGTTCCTCGAAATCAAGAAAACGTAGATCCCGCCAAATCGGATCTGGCATCTCTGCCATCGCGGCCCTCTCTTCCTGGCGGCTGGGTCACTGAAACTAGATCAGTCACTCACGGGCAGACGCCGCCTGCTGTTGCAGAGAAGAAGACCCTGGGCGTTGATCCTGGCGAAGTTTCCCCGGTCTCCGACAACGAGCACGACGAAGTCCCAGGCAGCGGTGTCACAATTGTGAAGGCTGTGGCGTCGATGCCGATACCCATCTCTAATGCATCGGGGCAACCAATGCCTGCCTCAAGCCAAGCCAGTGAGGAAAGCCACTCGGCCGACGCTCCCGTTAATCCCCTGGCTCCGTTGAATGCCGGGCACTCGGATCCTTCTTCATCGCGCTTCGTAGCACCTGAGAGATTGCAACGCGAATCTACTATGAGCACAGTCACTTCACCATCCCCTGTCAAAGAGAGCGACAAGCTCCGGGAGGAAATCATGCGGAGCCTCAGTCCAGTCCGGCCTACAAGTGACTTCGATAGCTTTAACGGCAATCGAGTGGGACAGTCAGAGGAGGATACCGGCCCTCGCGAGAGCACATACCTGCACGGTGTCTATGATGATTATTGGACTGCAGGCGATGATAAGCCTGATGTACCAGAGCTCCCGGCGAAGCAGCCAGAGCTAGATGTTCACTCTGTTGCAAAACAGGATGTCTCCGATGTGCCTCCTCTGAGCCCTCGCAAGGAGAATGCAGGAACGCCTCCGACACTTGGTCGACGATTTTCCTGGGAAGCGGAATCGGAACAAGTCACGCCGGGCCCGGATGATTCCCAAGAGAAACCCGTGTCAGACTCCCAGCCACAAGCTGCCCCTGTGGCTCCTGTCAGCTCAAGCTCACCTGCCCTTGGACACAAACAGTCTCCAGCGTTGTCGTCTGAAGAGACAAGGGACGCTGAGCAAACCCAGCCATCCACCAGCACTATGGACGAGACGCATATTGCAGTGCCAACAACTTCAGGCACGATGTCACACCAAGTGTCGCAGGTCAGCTCGGTGCCGAGAGAGCGGCTGGACTCAGAGAATATTGAGCCTCCGTCGCCCGTGTCAGCCGTGACTGATAAGAACCACGCCTCGGCCGCCCCTCCCCGACGCCTGTCCCTCGCGGAAGAAAAGTCAATGGTTCGGGTTTCGTCCAATCCCGTGTCCCCCAGCCCACCGCCGGGCGAACACCCGGCGCTGGCTCGATCTTCGGAAGCGACATCGCCTCCGCCTGCCGAGCCGTCGCAAGACCAGCCAGCCGCACCTCTTAAGATCATTAACTTCAAGGAGATCATGGAGATTCAAAACGCATCGGAGAGAATCAATAAGTACAACGAGACTAGAGCGCAATTTGCATCAATGGATTCGGGATTAAACAATTGGCTCGTCAACCTCAAGTCTCAGCATCCCGAGCACGCCAATGCGACGGCGTCATTCGCGGCCAACGTTTCAAACGTTGGCCAACCATCAGCATCACCAACAGCGTCCCAGCCAAATTCTCAACAGCCCTACTATCAGCAGTATCTCAACGCTAGCTCGACCAATGTCAGCACAGTAGCAGCCACAGCAACATCCTCGGGTCGTCCTCCCGCAGGCAGCGTATCCATGGGGTCCCATTCGCCTGGGAGCGATTTCAAGCATTCGAGTGGTCAAGTCGGGGCAAAGGGCAAGGGACTGTTGCTTGCGGCGGGTAAGGCGGGTAAAGGTTTATTGAGCAAGGGCAAGAACAAACTCCGTGGCACTGGGGACAAGGTATTTCTTTAACATTCCTCTCAATTGGGGCCGTCACATCACAGGGCATGCCTTTTTTTTTTCCCTCTAGCCGTCGGGATGGTCTAAAGGAGCTCGGTTCCCGTCTCTTCCCATTTGCTGTTTGTCTTCTCTCCTTCTATTCCCCCCTGGTACTCGCTCATGAGCCATGTGTCTCCCTTTCAGACCAGGATGACGGGACTGTATGAATTAAGGAATGCTACGACTCTTCATTTTTGCACGATCATGTAACCCCTGTGGTGCCCTCGGACATTTAATACTCCACGTGGCATTTTGTGGTGATCATCTCTAATTGCTTGTTCTCCCACAGCGCGACTCTTCCCCCCCACCGGTCCAACCCCAGTCCAAGGCCAAACCAGAGCGGCGTACGTCATGGGGCATTAGTCTCGGAACCCGTTCATCACCCCGTGCGGCCAGTCATGCGCATTCAGCATCGTTCTCGGGATCACTATCTGGCCCAGCTCCTGGTCCACAGACCATCCCGGAACATCCGGCATCTCAAACTCCACCGCCTCAACTACCCCAGACATCACGTATCTCCCCATTCGACGCCTTGACTCAGGAAAAACAGGCCTCGGCTTGGGCCCCACCCCGGCCTCAGACCCCTAAGCATCCCGCCGGTGTTCGCCGGGATAGCGAGTCCGAGCCCGTCTCGCCCGTCTCGGACGCCCAGTCCATGTCGGCCCCTAACCATCACGACAACGCCGACGATGGAGATGCCTTCGTTAACGGCACCGGCGATCTTCAGGTTCCAAGACCTATTGGCAAGACCCAACCGTCGTGGGATCCCTTTACAGGCACACCCTTGGTTGAAGAGGAAGGGTTTGAAATGGGGCAATCCAGGGATCCGAGTCCCCATATTCAGCATGCGCCTCATGCTGCCCCCGCTGCGCAATTCCACAACGCTTCGACGACGAAGAACGCCAGAAGTGACGATGACTGGGTCGTCGTGTCGCCGCAGTCAGCTCCATCTGAGCAAGTTTATGTTTTGTCCCCCGAGTCGCCACAATTGGTGCATTCATTCCAACCCACGGAGTCTAGTAGGGAGATCTTTGACAACGAAGATGAATCGGATATTGCTGCTGGCGATACTGCATCTTCAGATGCGCAACAGGTGTCACAGCAGGATCAAGACCATTTGTATCGCAACACTCAACATCAAGTACTCCAGCAGGAGCTGAATCAAAAGACTCAGCAACAGAACCAACTCCAGACTCGTCAGCAGCTTCCGTCGCAACAACAGTCGGTATCACCTCAGCGCCAATCTTCCTTCGTCGGCCTTCCACCCATCAGGCGGAGTTCTACGTTCGGTATCAATCTCACCAAAAGAGCAAAGAAACGTTTCTCTCTTGAAGAGGACGACGATGTCGACGGTCAGGTTATCGTGTCTTCTCCGGTTTCCACGGTTACCACAAGCCAGGACGTGATCGATGCCAACACTCCATCACTTCATCAACATGTGGGTCGGGATGCGTCTACTCGGTTCGCACAACCTGCCCGAATCGAGACCGGGCTTTCAGCATCGCGCAAAGATAGTGCTATGTCCCACCAAGTCATCTCAGCCACATCTACCCAGGCGGCAACACTCGCCACAGAGAGCACTGGGGTTGCATGGGGCGATGATGAGAAGAGGGCTTTAGATCCCCGGCATTCCTTCAGACCTGGCGGTTCTACTCCTCAACCTATCGATACAAAGCTTGCAATGCAACAAGCAGGACGAAATGGCGGTGGCCCACCACTTGGCATGCGCTCACAACAGGGCGTGGTATCCCCGACTATAGGGGGCAACCCCATTCAACACTTACCGCCGCAAGGTCCGTGGAAATTAGAAGAATCTCACCTGTCGGAGCCCCTTTTGCCTGCGAGTCGTAATCGTCTGTCTGGTGGTCCAGCCTCCCCACAACAGCCGTTTTTTGGATTCGATAAAGAGACTGGGGTGCCCTCACCAGCAGTCCCGCGGCAAGAAACGCAACTACCACCTCGACAAAAGTTCTCTGAGGTGCCTCCGTCATCGGCACAGCGATATCCAGGTCTATTTACACCTCCGCCTCAAGGCCAACCCAACCTAGTGTCGCCGGTTGGGCCCCGTAGCTCTTACGATTTAGGACACCAGTTCTTCCCCCGGGATAGTTCTTCGATACAGAGAACCCATACGGCAGACTCTGAAGTAAGTAGTGTGGAGCCATCAGGAGACGATGAGCGGGGCAGGAAAAGACGGAGCTCAGGTTTCTTCAAAGAAATTGGTGAACGCTTCTCACGGCCCTCTTCAAGAGAAAGGCAGAGTTTCAAGGAAGACGAGGTAGACCAGGTCGATCACCCTGCTGATGATACAGAAAGGACTAGAGATCCTGTGCCGAATATGGCTGCTGTGGAAACCCAAAGCGGGCGGCAGAAGCGGCGGTCCAGCCTGTTCCTCAATTTAAGAGGCTCTAATAAACCGTCGGACACTGGATCTCAACAAGGACAGGAGGGCGAAGTGGTCACGCCGTCCCCAAAAGCTAGTCCTATCCCTGCCTCTGCCCAATTCCAGCCACCGGTTGCGCCTGCAGAGCGAAAGCGTTCTTGGCTTGGTTCAGCTGCTAACGATTCATCTGCCGCGCTACCAACATTGTCGCGTTCATCGACTTCGACCGCTGGCAATGATCAAGCTGGCGGTCACAAAGCACCTCCGAAGAAACGTTTCTCTGGTTTCGCAGGCAAAGTGTTCAACCGTTCCAGCCAACAGGAGCTACAGCCACCTCAGAAGCCGGGGACTTCCCATTCACTGGCATCGTCTTTTCAAAGTCATCACTCCGGAGCACCTGCTGCTCAACTTGATGTGTCTTCATCGCACGTCGCCGCTGGGAGAGAGCGCAGCAATACGACAGGATCCGGGCCCTTTGGTTTACTTCAAAGTACGCACTTGCAGACTGTTGGTGAAGAGGATCGCGGGAGGAGAAGTTCGGCCGGAAATCTCCTTTCTGGTATATTTGGTCATCGGTCATCGAGAAACCAAGAAGCCCAACAACCAGTTCAAGCTATTTCTCATCAAAAAGACCATGTTCCTGCGCAGCCGAGGATGCTCCAGCCCGCACAGCAGCATCAACCTTCGAACCCAGGATCAAACCATTACATGGGTCTGTCACCTACGGTAAACCAGCAATTTGGCTCAGATCAGCAACAGTCATCTCCCCAGGGCTCGACGGCTCATCCAGGACGAAGTCTTGAGACTCAGCAACAAACAACACTGTCCCGGTCAGCCCATTCAATTACAACAGGCCCCCAACCTTCCCAGATTGTATCTCCCGTCTTAAATGCACACCAGAATCATAATGCTGCCATTGTGGAAAATCGGCACGCATCTGGTACCATTACTGAAAGGAGAGCCGAACCTGACGCCTCTAATCGGGGCGTACTGGATACCGCACAGTCTCGGACAGTTCTTGGTACATACTCCATGTCAGATCCCTCTGCGCAGCAGCCACCTGCGCGATTGTATGTTGGACTGGACCAAGCCGGCAGCTCTCATGATCCAACCTTCTCTAACCCTCAAGCTCATGCACTTGGAATACAGGGGCTAGATGCTGGTCAACAAAACCTAGAACCCGCTTCGTCGCCGAGAGGCCCACTAGACGCGATAGCATCGTCATCCAACGGAGTAGTGCATGCGCCGGACACGCTGCAGCGGTTGTCCATCTCAGCTTCACCGCCGCCCCCGCCTGTCTCCCAACGGCAGCCGTTGGTCTCTGTTGCACCATCAACAACGCGTAAAGCGCCATTTGCTGATCGACACCAAACCCAAACAGTTGAAACTGGTTCTCTAGACATAGGTCAGAACGATGAAATATCTCAACAGGCTCCGTCATCTGTGCCTCATACGATGCAGCAACAGGCTCCTGAACTCGGGCATGGAAGTATGGAGCAGTTTTCTCAAGCAAACAAGCTCCAGACCCAGCGATCCTCGTTGCCGCTGTTCTCTGACCAGAGCCAGCAGCCCGCTGCACAAGGCTTGGATGATGAGGGTCAACATAGCTCAGTATCGAAGTGGTTCAAGAACAGGACCTCTGCCCAAGCCGCACAACTTTCATCTCATCCAGGCCATCCAAAAGGGTCCACGACAAAGTCCCTATTCAGCGCCTTTAAGAGATCGTCGAAGCAACCTGAGGCCCGACTCCCCCAACAACAACAACAACAACAACAACAACAACAACAACAACAACAACAACAACAACAACAACAGTCGCAGCAAATGCCACCGCCTGACAGGGGCTTGCACGCACAGCCTTTTCAAACGAGACCTGGGCAGATATTGACGCCACCACCTGGGCCTCTGAATCAACGCAACCCTCACCCAATGCAAGGGCCGCTTGCTCACCAGCAACAACGTCATCCATCGCCAGCGGCATCCTTTGGACAAAGAGCCCCCCCGCAACACAGCATGTCTAGCGCAAGCTCTGAGATATCTCAAGGCACAGGGCGAGTCCTACAATACCATAGACCGTCAGGCGATCCTATCATGACTAGGGCTGTTCCCGCCAGTCTCGGTCCCACTCCAGGCATGCCACAACCTCAGCCATACCAAGAGCCTCAATACGACCAAGTCCCCATTCCTCGTGGATACGAAGCCGTTCACGGAGAAGGGCATGTGGCACCATCTCCGTATGACATCGGACGCCCATCACCCCCCGCTCAGTATCCTCATCATCAAATGCAGCCAGCACAGCAAAGTTATGCACAGCCGCCAGTTGCACATGGGCACCCATCCGAAGTATCCATGTACAACCAGTCGCAGGCTTTGGCGCCCAAAGACCAGCCGCAAGCTCCTAGTCAATTCACGGCGTCCTACCAAGCTGATCGCCGAGTGAGCACCACCTCCTACCAATCCACAGTGTCACATGCAAGCTACGGAGCACAACCTGGCTTAAATAGCACCCATCATGGTGTGCCGGAATACAACCAGCAACTCCAACCTCAACAACAAGAAGATCCAAGGGTGCACCAGTCCAGCCAGGACATGCAATCCTACCATACGGCAAATCTTGGACAAAACCCCTCTGTCTATGCACAAGGTCACCCGCAATTGCACGCACATTCTAGCCGGGCCGACGCCCATGGGAATAATCATACAAAGCCCAGTACCATGTTACAAGTACAGCAACCTTCTCATGGGGACGCTCGTGCAGACTTTGCTGTCCGACAATCAGTGGACTCCCCGCAAATCCAGCCCTCGCATGGTGGAGGTTTTCAACCTCCAGGTATCGACAATCCACATACAAACCAATCGCGTCTGAATACATTCGCCGAGCAGTCATCTCCCAGCCCGCCGCAGACACAGATATCGGTGCCAGGTCTTGCTGTTGACGTAGCCAGTCCCGCCAGAAAGGGCTCACACGGCGCCTCGATAGACATGATGAACATATCAGACGCGGGAGTTGCAGATGACCAGCCTGTAGGCGCAGGTACATGCCTAAGCGTCAACATCCAGAAGGCTAACCAGGACACATCTGATTCCGATATATACGACGCAACTCCTCGTCTGCTGTCTGGTCCGCTTCCTCCACCTACAAAACCCATCACTGCGACGAGCACTGGACAAGGCCAAGTCAGCGAGAGTTCGGCAGACGAGGCACCACGCAATGCTACCCATAGGAATGGCAATTCCAATGGCGCCGGCGTCACAGCTCTCGTCCGAGGCAGAAGCACAAGAGCCGAGTTGGAGGATACTGAGGACGAACGCATGAGGACGATGCGACTCGAAGCACAGGAAGAAAAGATTCTCGTTGACCCCTACGAAGAGAAGCAGTCCTCGGGAAACAAGTACAGGAAGGAAGATGATCCTGAGGCGCCTCAAATGAGCGCAACAAGCTATCCGGGACAAGAATGGAATCCTTACGGCGCTGGCGGCTACGAAGAATGGGACTGAATGGCTGAAACCCAAATTTTACACATCTAATGTTGGTGTTTTTTGACACATCTGGGTATACAGAACCACAAAGATTTGGCACGAAAAGTGTACTATCGGGTAGCGCAATGTCGTTTTCTGTTTGGCTACAAGCGGATGGATTTATACCCCAAATACCCAGAACAGACGGACAGTGTCATACTGTAAATTTCAATGGCAAACTTTATTCTTAACCTCGTTATGTTCATGGGCTCCTGCGACACGGCCCGATGTGTTGTTGTCTACTTCAAGTGCCTGGCAGAGATCCATCCTCAGTCTTCTTCTCCGTTACCCTCATGTTCGCTCAGTACTTCGTAGCAGCATCGTACGTCGGCGGAAGCGATTCACGCTTCTCCTTATCGAGTCGCGGAACATCTGTGACACCAGAGGCGTAACGAGGGGGCAGAGTAGTGGTGGACTCCCTTCTCACGTCGGACTTGGTGTCGCTCCTAACGGAGTCTCGCCATCTGCTGAAAGGGCCTGACATGAAGGACACGCGGCCAACGTCTTTCTGGGGAGGTTGCGGAGGTTGTTGAGGCTGAGAAGGCTGGGGGCCTTGAGGAGAGGTTGCCTTCTCAACGTCTCGCGGGATCGTCACATCCCGAGGGTTGAGGGGTTGTAGCTGCGAAGGGTTCCCATCTCGGTAGGTGCGTGGCGTGTCTCTCCAGCGACCAAAAAGTCCGCCCATGAACGGAGGACGGAACGGCGGACCTGCACCTGGGCCGAAGCCTCTTCCGCATCGCCCGCCACCGGCGGCACGTTGTTCAAGCCAGGCGGCACGGGCCTCGCGGCGTCTTTTGCAGCCACACATTTCTGTTATCGATGTTGTTACCTGGGGTTGAATGCGTGATGTAAATCGTTTGCTTTTTTTCCCGTGAAATGATGCGGAGTTCTTGGAAGCATTCAAAGCGGACTATGGCGCGCCAGGTTCGTGGAAGGATTCGACGGCATCTTATACTCAAGTCGTCCTTGACAGATGCGCACGGTTGTAGCTATGACGACGGTTGGACAGCGCCAGCTGAGGAGGCAGTTGTGGCGGACTGCGAATACGGTCACATATGACACGCCGAGAGACTTCAGATGAAGCCGCCGAGGGCCATCCGCACGTGGCTACACTGCGTCCAGCTTCCATTCACAGAAGTGACCGCGCAATAAGTGCGGGGAACATGATTTGCCCCGCTGGCTATGTTGGTGACGGCAGTGTTGTCCATGACCACAGCCACCTATGCCGTCCTGGGGGCAGGTAGGTGTCGGACGTTGAAGGCGAAAGTGCGAACGGCTTGCCGGGGTTACCTTCGCACTCGCTTCGACGTCGCGTTCAGGGACTGAATGCGGTAAGCAGAGTTTACTATGTAGGCATCGCCCGGGGCGATCCCGAGGGCCCACTCGCACTGCCGGCTCAGGTGGAGGTGGATGCGGCGCCGCCCCATAGCTGAACAGAGACGTAAGATAATTGGATTCGACGGCCACTTTCATGGGGGCTCCATTTTGTTGTTTTCGACAGCGTGCGGTGCTTGTTCTTATGCTTCTATTCACCAAAGACGGTTTGTTGAGATAGTCTCGATGATAATAAATACGCAGTCGTAGTGACAAATGGGCCGCTTAATAACCGCACCTCCTCCCACGTCTCCGAGATGAGGCTTTTCGTGATAATCATCTTAAGATTTATATCTAATTTTTTGATGTTTTTGATGCTCTTTTCCTTCCACTCAATTCAATGCCTACTACATCGGACACCGCAGTCTTCATGTCTTCAAGGCTTATCGCTGCCGCCACTGTTGGGGTGTATCTATTCTCATCTACAGCTTTGAACAGATACAGATCAACTGTCAGTAAGTCTTGAAACCTTCATGACATAAGAGAGTTCACGATACTGAACTTTCAGGACTTTGAAAAAAAAACTGACAGTAGGCATACCGAGTTCCCAATGCCGCATGTGCAAGGCCGTGGTGTTGGGGCTCTTGTTATTACATGTACGGATCAACATATTCCGAAATGCTCCGTACTAGCCTGCGGATACTATCTTTGAACGACCCAATGAAGGTAATGTTGCACAATATACTTCTATTGGACGTCTATCTGTAGCATGTGACGCTCTAGGCCTCATAGACATGCTGCTATATTCAATATGGCTTCCGCTTCGTTATCAAACTGTTAACTGCATATGTAGCTTTGCAAACGCAAATCACATGAAGCATAAGAATCAGTCGGCTCGTGTACTTATCTGAAATATCTGCAACGCCTCTAGCACAACTCTGCGTGGCTTTTGATGAGCTTTTAGCATCTCAGGCATGTTCCTGTCAATGTACTCGGGGAAGTTCTGTTCAACATTAACATGTCTAAAGCTTCTTAAGGCGACGTGTCTAGGACCTTAAGGCTGTTTACCGTCCATATAAAACAACATAGTGGCTTAGAACGTAGACAAGATAGAAGACGCAATGCCTGTATAGGCTGTAAGTTTAGTCGCGTTGCTAATCTACAGTAGATGTATGCGTAGTTAGAGGTATAAAGCACTATATATGATAACAGAGATATATAGTAGTAGGGAGACTCTATTTATTTGACAAGGGATACTCACTTACTAGCTATGTAGTATGAGAATATTTGTCTCTTCATCTGGAATTAGAAACCCTAAAAAACAACCTGAAAAGTACAAAAAAAGCAAGTACATACAACACCGGGCATTCGCCGGTCGTCACCGACCCGACTACTACTCCAGCCCTCATTGGCTTATCTATGGGAGAGCGGACGGGATCCCGAGTTTTCCAATGGGTATGGTCGTATGTGACGGCAGAAACAATTTTGACAGCTTATATTGGGAAGTATTCATCAGTTTCGTCTGTGCTTGTGGGGGTGGAAGTTAGGGTCCTTGATGTGAAGTCGCCGCTTGTACCCCTTCTACTTCTAGGTAAGCTTCGGCTCCATTGACTCATCTACGAATAAAATCATTCAAGTCTTCTATCCTTAGAACAGTATACTGATAAGCTTGGGTTTGTCGCTGTCAGTCTTAAAAAATGCCATTAAACAATAAAGCCCGCTCGAGGATTTGGGTGGTTGGAGCGGCTTAGTTTAGATAGTGAACCGAGCACCCGAGAAGACAAGCAACAAGGATTGGATGAATCATGCACGACTTAAGTATCGGCCGAGTATGTGTCCGTGAGCGCTGCCACGTTCCCTTGACCGACATGTGGCCAACGCTAACCGGCGCGACTTAGTGTAGCTGCAATGCTTCGGTAACTCGGACTGCATCTCAGATACGCAAAAAAGAATGCGAACCAAGCCAAGTCGGCTGAGCTGTTTGCGAGAAAGGTTGTTGCAACACTCAGCCACCAACTGATGATTCGACCAGGAGGCCCCCAATCATGTTCGCACGAAACTACGCATGCCGTGGGTGAGTATGTCTTCGTAAGCACCCGAGAGCTTGATTAAAAATGTTTTGTATGCTACCCTTGTTGAGGAAAGCTTTTGAGGGTGAATGTTCGGGATGAACTCAAATCCAGGATGTCGACGTGCCCGGCGGAAAGAAAAATCCCTACTCACGCGACACCGCTTTTGCTGCAACACAACGTTTGGCGAACTGCAGGGCGAATTTCCTCCCAAAGTTGGAACGGATTTCAAGGTAAGGATACCGGTCACACACAATTGACGTCGGCATTGAGTGTAGACAAAGTTCCAGGCGGGCTGATGCTCCCTTTCCCAGTTTTGTTGTGTGAGCCGCGAACCTACCTCTTGCCCAGTGTTCCATACCCATGACATGATCGACCGCCCAACCCTCAAAGGAGGGCGGTGAATATTTGTACGCACCTAGCAGCCAAGCCGGCCATGAGATTGCCGAATACAACGCACTTGAGGATGCTGCTCGCCGACCACTACCATGAGAGTCGTCACATCCATGCTGCAAAAGCCCTCTGTCGGGACACGGAGCATTGCTATTGATTGGGGACCAGTGGTCGATCAAGGAGACCGGCTACCCGCATGTCGCACCTGATGTCCGGCCTGACCCGAGCCACATAGACGGCGGCGATGCCAATTTCCCACAGATAAATTCATGTCGAGCTCAGTTGGAATACACAGGCAGAAAATGACACTCCCACCGGCAATTTGTAAGTGAAACACGACACGCATGCAGGATTATGGGCAACTAAGGGCTGTTGGACAGCGGGATATGGACAGGTGCAGATCGAGACGCAGACAGTCGCGGAAGCTATATGTGGGCGTCTGATGCCCGTCGGGGAGCAGAAAGTGTGTTTTTCTGTTTCAAGGGAGCTGATCGGAAATGCGAGTGGACGAAATCTCATGACATGGGACGACGGTATGTCGTTGCCGAGCACGGACTCCCGGCTGCGTTCTCGGGGTCTCAGACCCATAGGTGCGGCGAGCTGTCTGCGAATTTCGGGCCAAGCCGGGGAGTCATGGATTGACACTTATTTGGCAGACGCGCTGCTCAGTTGTTCATGGTCACAGACATGGATGTCAAGCTTGCATACGCCAACACCGCAAAACCTCCTTTGTCACGGCCGGGAGCTTTGCAGGTCACCGCCATCAGTTGTCCTCTGTCGTGCGACTCCAACATAATCGGCGCCGGAGACGATGAGCCTAAGGCATTTCCAAAAGTAAGTCCAGCATGGGCTGGAGATGGTGGTGGGGGGCTGCCTCGAATAGGTTCCAGGGTCCAAGAAGTTGCTATGCAAAATGAGGCTCTTCGGACGAGGACATCCGTGCCGTACCAAGACAGGATCCGGCGTCGGCATCGAAGACCTTAACAGAGTAACCACCCGAAATTCGCTGCCGAAATGCGAGGGAATGCTGAATGGCTCACCAGTCGGATGTCTGTGAAACAAGGTCGAGGACAAGGGGAGATGGGATGAAGGAAGCTCACTGAGAACGGACGGACAGGGGAAAGGCAAGTATGGGGAGTGGCACGGATGCATTCGCGTCAACCACGAGGCGTCAGCCGTTTGGCTCACAGCAGGGGCTGGGAGGAACAATGTAGTTGTAAGTTTTGAGTCGAAAAATAGCAACGGCGCGGGATGAGGCGTTGATGGCGCTCCAAGGGCCGGATGACTCCGATAGTTGCTGCTCGCCGTCCGAGTGCTGGCAAGATCGCGGCTCTTGGGGAACACGGGAACGTTGGAAGAATGGTCAAGTCATTGGCGGGAGCCATTGTCCGCCAAGCCAGGTTAGGCAAAGAAATCAACCAAGGCGGCGGCAAACTTGCCGGACAACGCGGGAAATCGAGCCAGGCCCGGGCCAAAGAGGAGGCCAGAGACGGCCGTGGCTGGAGAAGGCTTGATGGGTGCCGACGGTGAGGCCCGAGGCGTCTGATGGAGCCAAGCCGGCCCTGGACAAAGAAAGTTAGCCAGAGGCAGGCAAATGCAAAGGCCTGAGGACAGTTGGACAGGTCTAGACAGCCGCGACGTTTGTTTGAGCAGAGTTTGGGGCCATTGGCTATGCTCAAAGAAGACGCGTCCGAGTAGCCGCAAGCATCGAAACCAAGACGCCTGATGCCAATGGACCAAGGAGATAATAACAACAAGGTGGCAGGCGATCAGGCGCCTCAGCTTAAACGCAGAAGCACTGCGCCGGGGCCTAGAAGGGGGTAGCCATGTTTTGTGAAGGACGTAGATTTCGGCTCGCAAGTAGAATTTGAGTGAAGACGCTAGGGTCCTTGTCCCCGGCTCTGGAAGGCACAAAAGGAACGTGTGGAGCGCAAGGTGTCCATCCGTACGTGTTCCGGTACCTTGGATGAATGAATGGTTGTCGTCTTTTGTTGGGTCAAGATTGGGTACGGATAGCGTAGGCAGGTGATGCAGCAGCAACGCATCAGCAATCCCTGGGAGCTTGACCTGTTAATGACCGGGCTGCTCGGTAGATGCCGCAAGATATGGAGATGGAGAAAGGAGTGCTGCATACGCGAACACAGGCATTGTGAAGCCGAAACGCGAAGCAGACGGCGATACAGAATTGTTCAGAAGGCCTCGGAGTGCAGGGTGAGCAGGGCCCCGAGGATGGGCTGTTAGTGTAGGACATGGAAGGCAGGCAGGCAGGCTAAGTAACAAACACATGCCATGTCGCTCATGTTAGTAGAAGATGCCAATAATAGAATAGACTCGCTGGTCGTCGGTGATGATTGATGGGCCGCGACCTGAAACCAATTGGAGCGACGTCGCAGCATTCCACAAGAAAGATGAGCGCTGCATATGTACCATGCAGTACAGTAGGTATGTACGGATAGGCTGAAGGGGAAGGGGGATGACAGCGCAGATCTGAGGAAGGTTGGACACGGATAGGTTGGGGCAGGGAAGGATGGGATGGGATGGGATGGAGCCTCAAGATGGAAGCCGAAGAGTGGAAGGAAGTTCTCAATCTGGTTATTGTCTGGGGGTCGTGTTCCAGAGATGCGTGCGCGTCAGGGTCCCAGGCGCGGGTCCGTTTGAACGGGCAGTGCGTCGGCCCTAGTTGCGGCGTAGCGAAGCAATAAAGCAGGGCAGATTTGACGATGTGTTCAGGAGAAGGGAGGCGAGAGGATCTCATGAGCTTACTCGAGTGGGTTTGTGATGCGGTTCACAGTTCGCGGTTCACGCTGGCAGGTAGGATTATCCATGCATTAAGCAGCAAGCACATTTTACATGGTTGTATAAGTAAGATGAGCGAGCAGTTCATAACTCTGACGGGGCCACCTTGGCACGTAAGGTAATTAAGGTATGTATGTATGTACGGACACCGTTGTGACCAGCCAGCTGACCAGAGGCCGGGACAGGGGACACGGGACACGGTAGACCTGCCTTTTGTAGAAGTGCTTGTTTGGCTGGTGACAGCGTGGAATTACATGTAATTGTCACCAGGCGCGCCGAGGTCGGGTTGAAATGCACGGGGATTACAGTATACTGCTGTACGGGTGGTTTTTGCGCATATTAGGTGAGACTCCTCGGCGCTGGACCCAATCAGATACGAATCGCTCCGAGGGCGGGTACCTTTTTACGCGGCGGGAATGACGGAGTTGATTTTTTGATTGATTTGTGGCTGTGGCGGAGGCATCTGGGGGCGAATGCGAATCATTCAACAGAGGTGGTCGTCATCTTAGCGACATGGAAGCGACACTGTGACTGGCACACTGGTCGGTCCCCTGGGTACGTCTGCCCACTTGAATTCACCTCACCTCAGCTCACCTGTGCTGGGCTGGCTGGCAGGCCCGTCATCCACTCCCGACCAAGCGGCAACCGACAGCAAACCCCACAGCAACATCGTCACAAGCCGCTGCAGCATCTGCTTTTCTCGGGGCCCGGTGCAACACCGCAACATGCGATCCATGGATGGCAATAGATGCGCACACTAAGAACCAAGTGTTTAAGTGGTGGTGCACTAGTCTAGTAGTCCGTGGTTCAGCAAGGTAAGGTACCTACCTAAGGTAGGTAGGTTGTCGTCACACTCAGCTACCGCCTGCCACTTGGCACTGACCTGACCGACTGACTGCCTGACTGACTGATGGCTGATGGGCGATGACGGACACCTGCATCGCTTCGTTTCGCTTCGCTCACTCTACTTCGTCTTCTATGTTTGCTGGCTGCCGCTGGCAGCTGCACACACTCTGCACTGCACTGCCTCCACCCCTGCTCCGGCGTGGCCCTGATCCCGGCCCAGTCCAGCCCGGTCCAGTACCGTTCCCGCCGGGCTCTTTTACGGGCGTCCATTTGTGTGTCAAGTGCATTGTGGCTAGCTGCAGAGGCTCTTGTCTACACACTCGCCTTGCCTTGAACCGGCGGGCGCTGGCACACTGATGAATACTGTAATGTGCCGTCAGGAAACTCGGGCGTGCGTATCAACATTTGCCTGCGAGTTGCCCGTCTTTCAGATGGAGGTGGAAGGAGGGCAGCTGGACATGGGCCTGGACGGGGACGAGGACGTGGACCTTTTGAGACCTGGAAAAGTGCGTGCGCCCGGCGCTCCCACCACCCCAGTAAGGGTGGTGGTCCCTGTCACGTTTGAACCGTCCAATCCATGCCACCCATGTCATCCGCCCAGTTCCAGTCCTGGTCCTTGTCCCCAGTCTTTTGCTGCCCATCTCATTCTCTCTCTGGCTGGCTTCTTTTCGCTTTGCCGCCGTCGCTCTTCCACTTGTACTTGCACACTTACTTGCATTTGCACAACCACCGCCGGTCGCCGCAGCGCAGCCAAGGTAGGTAGCTAACTCAACGCACAATGTACCTTGCTTGGTAGCTCGGCTCCTGCCACGACTGGAAAAGACTCAAAGGCTTGCTTGGCCCGCTCCGCTGTTCTCTCAGCTTCACTTCTATTCGCCTCTGCCTCTGCCTGCCTGCCTCACTTGTCACCTCTTCTCCTCTTTCCCACCTTACTTGATCACCACTGCAACGAACCCCTCTTCTTGCCTGCCTCGATACGAATAATCACGCTGCCATTACGATCACGAATCACCATCCGCAATCGATACCACACCACCTACCCTTCCTATCTACCGATCTAATCAATCACCTTGCTCGCCATCATTCCCTCAACCGTCGTCGACTCAACCGCCGGAATTCAGTTCGAGAACCTGCATCGACACCACCGCCATGTCGTCTTGCTTCATCTGAGGCTCACCAACGCCCCCTTTTAGGCTGTTCTAGAGACTTGTTTGACGTTGCCGTCTCATACAGCCCGTTCTGTCACAACAAATAGGAAAACCGCCATTGCCACCTATGGATTCCTTCATCGCGGTTGCTGGCTGGGCTCAGCATGCGAGCCCCCAACCCGGCTCCAGACCTTTCGGCCATTTCAGGTCCCTCTCTTCCATCGCCAGATCGCCATCTCCGAGCCCTAAGGCTACGAGAATCACAGGCAAGGCGCCTTCCGTTGCCGACGTCCCCATCATGTCCTCATCGTTGGCGTCCACACCTTCATCACCATCTCTTCGACCCACACCCGTTTCGCCCCCGGAAGATGAAGGCGAACTTAGTACTCTACCCGATCCCCGTAGCCGCGCTATGAGCCCTGCGAGCGACGCCGATACCTCCCACCATCCCGATCTCGACGACGAAGTAGCTACTTTGAGCACAAAGCTGATCAACGCCATTAATCACCAGACGACCCTCGATGACACGTTAACCGCTACGAGACAGGAATTGGAGAGAGCCCGCGAGCAAATCAGGCATTTAGAAGAGCAGAATGCGTCACAACGGGAAATGCTCGCCGGCGACATCTGGGTGCGTCGAAAAGTTGTCGAGGAGGAGAAGAAGACTATTCTGCTGCGCGTGACAAACGAACGGAAGTTGCGAGAGGACGTCGAAAAGGAAAAGAAGAAGATCGAGCAGGAGCTGGAAAACCTTACTACCGCCTTGTTTGAGGAGGCCAACAACATGGTCATCTCAGCCAAGGAAGAGGCGCGAATTGAGCAGGAGGCTTTGCAAAGGAAAAACGACAACTTGAGGTCTCAGTTGGGCGATATGGAGGCTCTGCTGACTTCACAGCAACAGCAACTTGCCGATCTCAAGCATGTCATGGAGCAGATGGCACTGGAAAGGGAAGAAGGCACGACCGGAACAGCACCCTCATCTCCCGGCTTCAGCAAATCTGAGTTCAAGGATGACGAACGACCCGACGGCGTGCTCGCCTCGCCTCTCGTTGACCCCTCCTCACCAACCTATCCAACAAGCCTCACCCATCTTATCCAGCCTGTTCTCAGGACGGACTTGGGATCCTACGAGGATTTTGTCGCTCTTACCCGCATCTCGCGCAATCGTGCTGGCAGTCGTGTTTCGTCTGGCTCTTTCAACGGCATTAGCGGGCTTGGTCTTGGCATGGGCGGCAGCACTTCGAGCGCACACCCTTCAAATGCATCAACAGCTTCCCTCTCCACCGCTGGAACACCTGCTTCATCTTCGCCGCAGACCCCCAATACCCCAGCTTCCGTTTCTAGCACCGCCTCAGCAAACCTGGGCCCGCCTCCACCAGCACTGAAGGAGACCAAATTCTTCAAGCGTGTTCTGGCAGAGGATGTCGAACCGACACTTCGATTGGATATCGCCCCCGGACTGTCTTGGCTAGCTCGACGCAGCGTGCTGAACGCCATGAGCGACGGCTCGATTGTCGTGGAACCCATCCCTGCGAATGCGCCATTTGCGGCAATCGTGAAGCCTCAATTTTACCCTTGCTCTCTATGCGGCGATTCGCGCAAGGACGACGAACATCTGCGGACGTACCGCTTTCGAACCAGCGAGTCGGAGTCAGCGCAGCGCTACCCTCTCTGCAAGTACTGCTTGGGGCGCGTCAGATCCACATGCGATTTCCTCAACTTTCTTCGTATATTGAAAGATGGTCATTGGCGTGCAGATGATGAAGACGCCGAGAAAGCTGCATGGGAAGAGAGTGTCCGCTTGAGGGAGCAGATGTTCTGGTCTCGTATCGGCGGCGGAGTTGTCCCAGCAAGTCAACCTGCTCCATCCGCATCAGAAAAGAGCCCTCGCTCAAGCCATGAGAGTGACGCAAATGACGTGGAGCCGGTGGTTGCTCAAGTACCGGCCATCGTCGAAGCCGATGAGAAACCAGAGAAAGACAAGTCCGATGTCAAGGACGCGGACACACCGGAGGAAACTGAAGCACTGCCTGCGAGGCCAGAAACCCCGAACACAAGCAACCGAAAGTCCACACAGTCATTGGCACCCGAAACAGCTGCCAATGAAGGAAAGGACGGAGCAAAGGACGGCGAGAAGCGTTTGTCGCTCAGCATTCCCAGCTCTCCGGAACCGACAGCAACTATTACATCCGATTAGACGGCGCGCGATTGCGAGCTTTCATCCCTAGCAACAACTGAGTTGCCAGGACGTACACCTAATATTCAATGTTGTATTACTATGCCGTATGCCACGAAGCTGGAATGCCGGGGCTACTAATGATGGCCACATGGGAGGGTTTGGCGGGGATCCTTGGGAACGAGAGTGATTCTGGTTGGTTCGGATGGTTTGGGAGACAACCTTCCTGGCTGTTCATTTTCCTGGAATGGCAACGGCGTTTTGGAGAAGGAAAACCTGAGTTGCGAAGCGCACATCAACAGTAACAGTGATCATCGGAGGTCAGAGGACAGGCATTCGTTAGACGGACGGAGTAGGTCGACGGGACACAGACAATAGTCAGTGAGCGCTGCACTGCTGATAATACCAGACACAAGGAGAAGATGTTGTGTTGTTCACCCTTCACTAGCCCTAATTCTTGTGCAAATGTGAATGACAGACAAGGACGCCCTTTGCACTGCTTACTCTAATTGTTAACTTACCAAGCATGCTCGCCAATTTCCGCTCTGGGTCAAATGGCATACCCCTTGCATCTAGAACAAGCAAAGGAAGTGCCCACTAAGGGGGGTTGAGGGGGCACCTGAAGGTATGCTTGAATCTTAGCCAGCACTTCGTTTTATTTCAAAAGAGAAAAAAACGATCTGAAACCGAATGATGGATTTCAGACAGGCAATCCTATCAACCGTCGACCTTGACCTTGCAGTTGTGTCAACACCAGCTTAGACCTGTCGAAAGGAACAACGCAACATAGCTTGTTTGGTCCTTGTTGAATCACGAGGGGGGAAATGCAGACAACACCATCATTACGACGTGGGTTGAACCCCCCCTGTGATGACTGTTTACATACATGGGCACGCACATCTTGCTTAGCTCTGGACAACAAATGAAACCTTGATTTTTATGGCCTTATCTTTCGGAATCCCCTTCTACTCCGTGGACAACGGGGTTGTGTTGGGCTTTGCTGGAAAACACAGTTCGTGACATCCATCCCCACTGGGTTTGGTGTAAAGGACGATGCTTCAACGCCCATACCTCCGCTTCTGCGTCTCTTGCCTCTCCCCCCGAACGTACCACTCGTCGTCCTGGATCTTTCCCCGGCATGTGGTAGCTCCAGCAAACGGAGAGGTGATACATCGTATTACATCGCCTCTAGATAGTTGGCGATTCCTCATACTCAAAGCTCCTCCTGGGCGGTGGCCTCCTTGCCGCCCTCGCTAGCAGGCTTAGCCTTCTTTTGCTCAGCCTCCTTGGCACCCTTGACGCTCTCGGCAGCCGGGGGAACGACTGAATCCTCTGCCTTCTCTGTAGACTTGGACTTGGTCTCCTGGTCGACACCCTGGACATCAGGGTGAGGCGGGGCGACGCTGTCCCCTTGATCTTGACCAAGCTCTTGCGGCCATCCGCCTTTGGGCATCTGCACTTCGTTCCCACTTGCGTCGACGACGCGCGTCCGCGTCTCGTACTTTGTCTTGAATTCGACCTTGCCCTCCAAAGCCTTGACCTGTTCCTCGTCGAGCAGGTTGCCGTCCTGGTCCCGGTACTCCACGCGCTCCTCCCGAGAGAGAACCTTTTGGGCCGGGGCTTCCGACATCTCGGCTGCCGCTGGTTGCTCTTTTGGGGCCTCGCCAACTGGAATTTGGCCGACTTGGCCGCCGGCCGGAGCAGCTGGAGCCTCGGATTTGGCGGGGGTTGGAGCCGCAGCGGCGGAGGTGCGGGTGAGCAGTTCAGTATACTGAGAGTACTATGCGGCAAGAAAGTCATGTTAGCCTCAATTTACCGTCACTTTGACCCAACGTCTCTCAGCCGAATCGAAAATGGCATTTGGCTATGAACTTTCCCGGACCAAAGCGCATTACATGGGCAATTGGCAAACTATTACAGTCCTCTCTCGGGCATGCCCTGTCCCGGCACATGAGCGGTAGTGTTACTTACGTTATCGTAGAAGGTATTGCAGTCAAAATCCCACGAGCTGAACAACTTGACCCTGTTACACTCGGCCTTGGTCCAGGGGTTGCCGTAGGCCAAGGGGGAGAAGAGCATGAACACCGCGATGGTGAAGGCTAGGAAAGCAACAGCGCTGGCGCGATTAATAATTGGGTTGTTGCGAATGCCGGCAAAAGAAACGCGAGCGGTAGCGAAGTCGAAGACGGAGCACAAGGCCATGACGCCGAAGTAGAGGGCCGGGAAATAGTGGTGAAGGAAAAGCTGACGTTCCATCAAGTAGAATGGGAAGTAGTGGAAGGCCCAGCCAAGTACTGCCGTGCCGACCTCGTAATCGAAACGCTTGAAGGTGACGTTGCTGTAATCGTTGCAGCTGCGTTGCCAACGCAGAGTTGCGACACCCTTGAAAAGGACATAGACAACGATGGCCAAAGTAGAGCTCCACCAGACGATTGGGTTGCCCATCAGGTAGATCTGACGATGGTCTCTGCCCCAGAAGTTGATACCACGTTTGAGGACTGGCCAAGAGGGAGGACGGGAATCCCATGCGTGGGATTCAACCAAGCCAGCATTGGTCTTCCACATGACCTTCTGCAGCTCCCAGAACTTGCCGAAGAAGCCCGGGTGGCGGTAGTTAACCTTCTCAACGTTGTCGCCAACCAATTGAGGGTGCTCGTTGTACTCGACATACCAAAGACTGTTGGGAAGGGTACCCCCTCTGGCGCAAGTGACTTCCTGCTGCTCAGACGCCCAGTCTGGAAGCTTCACCTTGTGCGAGAAGAGGACACAACCAGTCATGATGTGGACGAGCCTGAACTTGGTTTCGATGGTGCGAACACGTTCCTTGGATGCTGGGGTAAGAGACTGCTTCTTAACAATCTCAATCTTGAACAAGTCGTTGGCATCGCCCTCGAAGCCTTCATAACCATAGGCCGAAACCTCGTTCTGCCAGTCGGCCTCCGTAACAGGGGGGCGGACATCGTGGGAATGGAGGCGACGGAAGGTGGGCAGATGGTACAAGCGGATGACATCGCCGTCCTTAATATGAATAGGCTGCGGCAGACTGTCCCAGGCCAGGGTTCCGTTGATCTGCTCGCCGTTGACACCGAGGGGCTGGGTCTGGTTCTCGAGCAGCCACACGTTGTTCTCGTCCTTGTGGGGGTACAGAGTGATCTGCTGCTGCTTGCTACCGGTGGGGTACATCAGGGGGTGAGAGTGCAGGTAGCCACCCTGGGTATTGACGTGTCTGATACTGACGCGGCTGCCAAAGGCGACATCGGCCGCGACATCCTGCATGCCCTTGGAGTTGAGAGTGGACTGGAATTCGGAGCTCATGAAACCATCGCCGTCACCAGGGTTGACGAGGCAAAGAAAGTGGATGGCGAACATGGCCATGTAGAAACCCCAAGGGATGATGATCAAGCAGAAGGCGCGAGACATGAAGTGCTTGGCCCAAATGCGCTGGTTTGTGTGTTAGTTCCGAGTAGTACACAGGAGGTGAATGTGAGCGACACGTACCGGCGTGACGTTCTTCGTGTCTCCGAGAAGCACCCAGAGCTGGACCAAGGTCAAGCTTCCGACCCAGGCGATGGTAAAGAGACCCACCCACTTGATGCTGAAAGTAACGCCGAGACCGAGGCCCGTCATAGCAAGCCAGAACCACCAGCTCAACTGAAAGGCCTTCTCAGGGCCCTGTTCGTGTTGATTCGTGAATGATTGGAAGGCAAGGGCGGTGAAAGCAGTCGCGACCATCAGCGGCGAGTCAAGCAGGATCAGGCGGGCCTGGGTTAGGAGACCGTTTTCTACATGTCTACGTTAGCGAACCGTATCAAAAATGAATTACAGATGTCGTACCGAAAATAATGAGACCGGAGCCCAGTATGGCAGTGGTTGTGCGACACCCGGTGGTCTTCAGGGTCAGGAACATGAGAGGTGCAAGAAGGATTCCGCAGACGGCAGGGAACATGCGCATGGCGACATACGGGACGCCAGGCTCGAGGTAGTCCTTGCCGATCTCCTTGAAGTCGAAATCGCCATTGAAGCCCGCCAACCAGCCGGTCAGCGCAATAAGCATCTTAGCCAACGGAGGGTGGACATCCATGAAGAATTTGCCCTTGATGTATTTTGAAGCGAAGCCACCGAAGCTGGAGAGGAGATCTAATTAGAGACGGTTCAGATTGGGAAGTTCGGAGGCTGTGTGGACTCACTGGACCTCGTCAAAGACGACGCTGGTGGGCTGGTAGATTCTGAACAGGCGAACGGCGGCAGCGAGAACGGTCAGAAGGATCATGATCTGGTAGTCGGAGACAGGCAGGAGAAAAACATCATTGTCATCAACGCCATCTGATTTGTAGCTCTTGTCGCGCCTCACGGGGGTCTTGCCATTGGCGCCATTGACACCGTTGGCACCGTTGGCACCATTGGCGTGCTTCTCGAGCCTTGGGCTCGGGGAGCGGACGGGCTTGGTAGCAGCCATGGTGTAGGTATCAGATCGCAGTGGAAAGGAGACCAGGTGGAATCGATGGGGGAGGTGGTCTGGTGGTCGTCCTTCGAGGGAAGGGGCGACGACGACGGGGGACGTCGACGGCGATGGTGGAGAGGCCGATACCTGTGGAGGGTTTTTTTTCTCTCTCCCCGGCAGGATGGATCGCAAATGAAGTAGGAAGAGAATCAACGAGAGTCAAGAAGAAAAGACAAGCATTAAAAGGCCGTCATTCGTGCAAGGCAGGTTGACGGGCGACCTTGATGAATGCCCTCAACGGGAAGTTGTAGTCAAAAGTATGGTGAAGGCCAAAGGGAAAAAAAAAGGGAGGTTCAGGGACAGAAGAAGTCAGGACAATCCGGTCTGGTGACGGAAAGTTTAGCTGATGACAGCTGGGGGGAGAACAGTGAACAGGCTGGAAGGGAGTAAATGGAGGGATTAGGGGGTCAGGGTGAAAAGCGAAGTGGCCTGTTTGGCAGCCAGCAATTGGCTGAAGCTAGGGCGTACCCGGGAGCTGCCTGGTTCTCGCGATCACCCCTTGGATGATTTCCACGCCCCCTTCGCATCCTCTCTACGATTCCCCATGGCTGTCCACCCTGGCTGGCCCACATCTGTCTTGTGCAGCCAGCATGCGGCTTGTCCTTCGACGTCGCGTCTGCTACTTTGGGCTTTGCCTCACCCCTGCTCTAGGCCTTTGGGGGCACCTTCAATGGATCCAACGTGTCTAATTTTACGCGCTACACTTTATCACAACAGGGTCGTGTCCTTGGGCCTCACAGCTCACGGATTGCTTATTGCCCTGAGGTGCACGCGTCAAGACAAGAAAGCCTGGGATGTCTCGAGGCCCTCGGCAAGCATCGAGGCAGGGCCGGAGTAGAAGAAGGAGAATTAGGCTAAGTCTGAAGATAGAGTGAAAAGATCGAGGTCGATGGCCAGGTCTAGGTGTCCCCAGCGATGTGGACGCGCATATGAAGGCGTGCCCCCACTCCCACTGATCCATCGGGGGCTGTCTACGGAGACCTCACCTGAGCTGAGGAAGCACTTTACGCGGTTCGCTTGTCATGAAGCTCGGCCCTCGGGGCTGATGTCGCATTGGCACCCGACCCCAAATCAGATCTGATGCTCATGTTGGCTGAACAAGACAAGTGGTCACATCACGCATTACATTCCCAGTCGGGAGGCGTTGGGAAAAGCTACCTCGACTAGGCATGGTAAGCACACAGTTAGGTTAGCTACCTGCATCGTCGTAGCTTCTGCGAACACCGGCACAGGTGCCCGTGCTCCCTCTCTAGTGCCAATCCTGTGGTGCAGACAGCGGGCGTGGCTGCCATTGTTCTCTGTCAGCGTGCGGCCTCTGTTCTCCAGCTGCTCCGTGAGGAGTGACCGTGGACACTGGACGCCCTCGCTGGATCCATCCGTTCCATTTCCACTTTGGATGTAATGTGGCCAGTGCGCGCTGCCATGAGGCTGAAAAGGACATCCAAGCACGCTGGCATACGTAAGGCATTCTACTTCACACACTACCACCGCGCCATCCCTTCCACTTCGACTCATAAGCTCCGCATCCTTCATGCTCTCACCGAATTCCCACCTTATCTGACGTACATCTTGTCGTAAAGTACCTTTGACTTTTCGATTTGTTCCCTTCTTCTTTTTTCGCCCCTTCACCCTCGTCTTGTCGGTCGACGGGCAATTCCTCTACTCAACGGCCAGGTTTCTTCGAAGTTGGCTGTAGTTAGTGAACGGGTCTACTTGAGATCGATAGTTGCCCAATCAGCGAGCGAATGGCTTGACACATGGAGACCTTTGAAAAATACATTAGTGAGATAAGATGACATCAGCGCCTTGTTTGTGACAGCTATTCGTTCAGCCAACTGCCCTCGCTGGGCCCTTATGTCTCCTTCGCTATACACGCAGACGGCATTGCTTTCTGTTGGGAAAATAACATAGCCAATAATAACCGAATGAAATCTCGAGCTATGTGAACAAGCAATGAGAATTACTGGTTCATCTTGGCACTGTTTTGCATTTCCAGCGTTAGTATTATATTCAAGATATCGCAGTTCAAGACAAACCCGGGTTGAGCATTGCGCACTCGCATATCGATAAGGCAATGGCCCGTGCACCACCGACCCATTACTGACTAAGGCAAACACTGGCCAATCTGGCTGCGAGCGTCTCCTAAAAAAAGTATCCCAAACAGCTTTTGTTCTGCGCGCTTGACTCCTAGCGAAGGTCCACGCGCTGCATCTTCACCTCACAATCTTGACTGCGCGCGCCTCTGTCTCCGCCATGGCCACAACTGCGACGAATGGCGATGCCGCCGCTGCTCTCGACAGTCTGAAACCTCCTACCGGGGTTGTCCTTCCCCCGCGCGAAATTCGCAACGTTCTCGAAAAGACGGCCGGATATGTCGCCCGAAACGGCCTGGTTTTCGAAGACAGGATTCGCGACAAAGAGCGCTCCAACCCCAAGTTCAGCTTTCTCAACAACGCCGATGCCTACCACGCTTATTACCAATGGCGACTCGACGAAATCAAGGCCGGTCGCGGCACCGCCATAGCCGCTGGACGCGCGAACGAAGCCGCTGCCCCCGCCGAGCAGAAGCCACAGGGCCCTCCCAAACCCCCCGATTTCCAATTTTCCGCCCGCATGCCTAGAATCAACCAAAAAGATCTGGAAGTCATTCGTTTGACAGCTCTCTTCGTAGCGAAGAACGGCCGCCAGTTCATGACCCAACTCGCCCAGCGCGAGGCTGGAAACCCGCAATTCCAATTCCTCATTCCCAACCATACGTTCCACAACTTCTTCCAACATCAAGTTGACCAGTACACTGCTTTGTTGAGGGCCAGTGGTTTGAGTGGCGAAGGCGGAAGGCTGGAACAAGAGCGCATCGCCCATCTCCGGCAAAACGTCGACGACAAATATCATGTCCTGAGTCGCGCGAAGCAACGTGCCGAGTATTCGAAATTTCAGGAAACTGAGAAGCAAAAGAAGGAGGAAGAGGACGAGAAGAAGCGAGCTGAATTCGCCCGAATCGATTGGAATGACTTTGTTGTCGTGGAGACCATCGTCTTCACCGATGCCGACGACCATGCAAACCTGCCGCCCCCAACGAACCTTTCTGATTTGCAGTACGCGTCGCTTGAAGAGAGAAACAAAGCGTCTATCAGTTCCAACCTCCGTATCGAGGAAGCTTTCCCAGGCGAAGAAGATGCGACATACAATGCCTACCCCCAGGCCTCTCACACGCTGCCAGTTCACACAGGCTACGCGCCTCAACAGCAGTACCAGACACAGCCCCCGCCGATGCCTCAACAATACCAAAATGGACCACCACGGCGATCGGCAGAGGAGGAAGAAGAGGAAAGGAGGATACAAGAGAGATCTGAGGCGCGTGCCAGAGAACAGCAGGCTCGTGCGGAGGCTCGCGGTGGCAACGCGCCGATGAAGATCAAGGAGAACTACGTCCCCAGAGCACTGCAACGCAATGCAAACAAGCAAAGCGTGCAGACGGCATTATGCCCAAACTGCAAACAGCAGATTCCCATGAATGAGCTCGACGAGCATATGCGAAGTAAGTCATCTGCTGCGCCTACTACATCTGCTACAGGGTGAATGTTAACGATACATGCAGTCGAGCTTCTTGACCCCCAGTGGAAAGACCAAAGAGCTAAAGCTGAAGCGCGATATGCTACAACGAATTTGTCCACGGCGGATGTAGCCAACAACTTGAAACGTCTGGCAAGTCAGAGAAGTGACGTTTTCGATGGGGTCACTGGCCAGCCCATGTCGGAAGAGGAACTCGCTCGGAGGAAGAAGGCTGCAATTCACAGTTTCGACGGAAATCCCGACGGCAAGAGCCAGGCGCATATTAACCATCTGCACAGCCTAAACGTTGAGGAGCAGATTCGTGCCATTCACCAACGGTTCGCAGACAAGAAGTAAGCGGTGCAGACGGCGCACGCAGTCTGCGAAGGTCCTTCATGTGTCGCAGCGCTGCGAGCCTTTCATATCGAAACGAGGCATTCGGCACTGAGCTTGGCAGCGAGCATGTCACTGCCTTTGCCGCAAAAACCCGATTTGCGAGCGAGTGTTCTCCACGAGGTCCCGGCCATGGAAGGCCCGCCAAAATCAAGGTTTAACAGTCGCAACTAGCATCGTATGCCGAACAATCAAGAAGAGCTTGGAGGTGAGATTTTGGCCTTCAAGTTACTCGCGTTCACAGGACTCATGTAATGCTTCTTCAGCATGTGCTTCCGGCCCAACTTCAACCACCGTTAGCCACCGGGCTGTTTTTCTAAAGATTGTCAGGGATCATTATGATCACGGGGCATACATAAGCTACTGAGACTGCTTTGCATCGGAAGAGTGGTCGTAAGCAACATGTTTTGTAATTTTATATCAGATTGGGAGGGGCGCTGGTATCCGGGCCGAGCCAAGCTGGGCGACACCGTGGCACACAGGACCACGATGTTCTGTAAATGTATAATTCAAAATATGACAAGATTGACGAGGACTGAATTTGGTGATCCCAATACTCCAGATTGTAGAGGTGCTTACAGCCGTCGCCTCTCCCCACTTGCTAAATCGGGCAGCGCGGCTCATGAGCGTCGGCGTCGTACATTTGTGATGTTAGTGTAAGTGTGTACGAAGAGCCGGAAACATGCGAGCGGGGGTGGCCCCCACAGACATTGGCTCAGCCTCCCTCGTCTTACAGTGCACCGTCTCATGGCCAGTGTAGGCAAGATGTGGTACCTCAATCGCCGGACAACGGCCGGGCACCATTGGGCGGGCTTGATTGTAGATTGCTGCTCCCCCGCAATCCAACTCAACACCACCCGAACTTCTTCTATCGTAATCGGCCGCCTTCGCACCATTCCCCCGCCCCCTCCCGCACTTCAACTATTTTGGCAAAAGCCACTCGTTCACGTCAACCTCGTGCAGCTGCGCCTCCTACACGCCTACAAGCCCAATCCCAAGCGACTCATTTGCAGCCTTCAATCGACCTCACGCGCGAACAACTAATATCCAACCAGGGGAGACAACAGCAACGTCGCAAACCCGATATCGCGCCGACGTCAGCCTTCAGCCAGGCTCCCTAAGACGAAGCCCTCGACGATCGATTTGCTCCCCAAACAGCCGTCAAAACGGATTCCGGACGCCAGAACGCAGCTCGCGCTACCGGCGCTGAGCCATCCTCTCCCACATCTCCGACCGGATCACAGGCGGGCAGCCAGGCCTCGCCGCGCTTTCATCGGCCCATCATGCAGGCAATGCCTGATACGCGACAGCAGTCGTTCGATGAGATCTACGGCCCGCCCGAGAACTTTCTTGAGATCGAGGTAAGAGCGACCACTCCCTCGTCTCGCCCAATGCGCCATCACCGCTGCCGCTCAGCGTTGACACTTAACTCGTCTTCCTCTGCCACCCCAACCCACCTGTTCTGTCTCTCTGACATAGCACCTCGCCGCAGGTCCGCAATCCCCGAACCCACGGCATGGGCCGCGGCATGTACACTGACTATGAGATCGTCTGCCGCACCAACATACCCGCCTTCAAGCTCCGAGCCTCGAGCGTGCGCCGCCGCTATTCCGACTTTGAGTACTTCCGCGACATTCTCGAGCGCGAAAGCGCTCGCGTGACCATTCCGCCCCTGCCCGGCAAAGTCTTCACGAACCGATTCAGCGACGACGTCATTGAGGGTCGCCGCGCTGGTCTCGAAAAGTTTCTCCGCATCGTCGTCGGCCACCCGCTTCTGCAGACGGGAAGCAAGGTCCTGGCAGCCTTTGTGCAAGGTGGGTTGTCTCTTCGGCCTCCAAGGGGTTTTGCGTGGAACGAAAGTCATTCAAGAGGGCCCTCCGGCGACATCCCTTCAACAATGCTAGCAGTGTCAACAGGCGAGAATCTGGCTAACACTAGAAACAGATCCTAACTGGGACCGTAATGCATGGTGACTGAAGCTCCGGGCCAGCTGGCCAGGCACCTTCTCCTCTTCGTCTTCAGCTCCGCGAACACCGAACAAGTTGCGCAAACGACCACCCAAACACCATCGCTTCGATACACAGCTGGAGGGACTGACAAAATGCTCCAGGCGCGGTGGCGGGAAATGAGAAAACGGTCTCGATAATTACGAAGAAACTCCCCCCATCTTGAATGATCAGCAGAAGAGGGGATAAAATGACAATCCTACAGGGGTGGGACTTGATTGGTGGTTGCTTGTTTCGTTTTTCCAGTTTTCTCTCATATCCAAATGGTTATTTCATCATTTGCTGCTCCTCTGCGTTTGACCTTCCGTGTTATCCTTCTGCTCATAGCTTTTATGTCCCGCGCGCCGAGCACAAAAAGCCGCCGAGGCGGACCGCATCAGCGTTGCTTTTCTCCTCGAGGAAGGGGGAGGTTGGCGTTCTCAAAATTGAAATCAAATCGAAACATTTCAGCTTCGTGTGATTTTGCAATTGATCAGGGAAGAAGCAAGCCGTCTTTCCAAGGTGACGTCGAACTAGGGTTTCCTTGGCTCTGCGCCCTTTCCTTTGAATGGAGGGGGTTTCTGGTCTGCCGCGATGACCCTGTCTACTTCTCCCAGTAGTGTAGTATTTTACTTCTTCTGTTTATATACGTTATGCACAGGATTCTCCTCTCTTGAATGACAGGAGATCACCCGGGTGCATATACCGTTATCCTGTGTTCGTACATGACCACCCCCCTTGATACGCCTTCACAGGATGTGAATTTTCTCAAAGGCTCATTATTTTCCCCTCCAAATCCCGTTCGAGCCTCGCCAAGTCTAGAGCCACTCGCTCCATATCGTACATCCGCTTTAAAGACATGAGGTTATTTGGGATGAGTACCGTCATCGTTGAAGACGTGTCATAAAAAGAAAAGTTAGTGAGAAGGGAATGGTGTTGATATGCAAGTGCGGGGTGAGCATGAGTGAAACGTATCTGTCCCAGAGTCGCAGTCGTTCATCGTCGTGGCTTATAGTACAAGAGACACATATCCAAGAGTTGGGTGGTGGTGGTGGTGGTGCCTAGTTTTCGTTTGATGTTGTGGTGACTTGAGCCCCGTCCTTGCGAGGACGGAAACCCCGCCTTCGTCTTTTCACAGGCTGGTTCCGGTCTTGGACGATGTGTTGAACAGGCGGAGGATGCCCTCGTACATGCCGAACATGATGGCAGCGCTCGGCACTGTACGCATGAGATGAGGCGTGAGGCCGCCGTAGAGCCCCATAAACCCTTCCTCGACCCACACAAGACGGAAGCACTGGATCAAGCCAGTGTACTTGAGCTGGCCGTTAGCCATCGGTGCCTGGCGCAACCTGGTTCGCGCAACCTGTTGGGTAATGTTAGCAATGTGTTTCCTACATGTCCCAGAAGCGACGCTATATCGTCCACAACATACCTCATGAGGATACGCCAAGATGGCCGCGACTAATTTGGCACCACCGGCAGCACCAGCATTGCCCATCCAATCCACCGTGCGGTCCCAGAATGTCTTTTCACGGCCGCTCCGGATGATGCGCTCCTCGCGAGTGGCTAGCTTGTTCTTGATCTGCTCGTACAACACCCACTGCAACGTGCTCTCGGCAACACCAAGGTAACTCGCGCTCATGCCCTTGTATAGGCCGGTGAAGCCCTCCGTACGGAGGACCTGCCGAATACAGTCCAGGCTGTTGCGATACTGCCGCTTCGTCACCCCGCCGCTCTTTTCCGCCACATTCTTGTCGAGCTGCAGCCGCGTCTTGACGAGCCAGATGGGATTCGTCGCAGTACTCGTCGTCACACCCGCCAGCACGCCGGCAGACAGGTGCACCCACGCAGACTCTTGGCCTCCGTTGCCGTACTCAGCGATGAGGCGCTTGCCGTTGCCGTAGGTATAGAAGTTGATACTCCTCGCGGGGATGACGCCGACGAGGTTGGGTCCCAGGCCCTTGAACAGAGCCCTCGGCCCCTCGATCCTATAGACGGAGCCTAGAATTTGAAACGTTTCCTTCAGGTGGAAAGCAGCAGCTCGGAGAGGGCTAAGGCTGCCCACTGCCTGGGCGCGGGCTTGATGGGAGGCACGCAGTTGGGCTTGGTAGAAGTCGGATTGGAGACGGGTCTTCAACACGTCGAGAGGTGCTGTAAGAGTTGCTGCTGTCATTCCGCCGACACTGTGTCAAGCAATAAGTGTCAGCGCCGAAGATTCACAGGTTTTCTCTGCCCTTCTTTTTTCTCTCACGAGAAGAGGCAGGCCAAGGTGCAGACATACCCGCCAGCAACGAAATGTACCCATGACTTGGCAAATGGCGACTCTTTGCTGTCAACAGCGGGGTTCTGTTTTGTGTCGGGAATGACATCGCCCGTTTCTCTGGATGTTGGGTAGGATGTTGTGTCCGGGGCGCGGCTTGAGGCCGCCCGGTCGCCTGCTGCAGACATGTATTCGGCGGCCACGGGAGAATGGGCCATTAGACGAAGTGGCGATCGCAACCGACGAGTTGGTTTGTGGGGACTGGAGGGGGACAGTTCTTATGGCGGTCGCTCGCAATGTCCAGGATTGAGAGTGAATGGCGAAAGCGCAACGTTTGTGAGATCCCACGTTGATACCAGACCGTGGAAATCAAGCAGGCGGAATTGGTGGACAAGAGAGCGGGCAGCTGAGAAAGCCGTCATTGATGGAGCTGGGGCAACTTTTTTTTTTCCTCCCATCGATAAGTGAACGCGCCACGCTCAGATTTGATGCGATCCACTTAAGCCCCTGTTGGTGTGGCCCGTGCGGCATCCGTTTCCTGTGGCTTCATAACGACATTCGATTGGGCGTATCGATTTCTTGCGGTGCCATCACCAGGCACATGCGGACGAGGAGACTCATCTCATGGCGCGCAGGTCAGCTCATCTGCAAATCGCGGAGCTAGCAAAAGGCGAGTTTTACAGGCGAACTTATTGAGTATCATTATGAGTATCTGACTTTTTTTTTGGTTTTTTGATTTCCTTTTTGCTTTTTTCCTCATCTGTTCTCGCACCTCGCAATGCATCGCGCGCACACACATACACACGCGCACAACGCACATACTTGTTTCGCTCATTCGATCTCGAACTCTCGCTGCTGTCTTTTGCTCTCGCAGGCGACATATGGGATTACTGAAAGGTTGTGACCCGTATCAGGTGTTTCGGCGGCAGAGCATTTCACATGTCTTACCGCCCCGTTAGGTTTCCTGTTGGCGTAATGTTAGCATCCCTGGCATCGGCCGCTGCAGTCGCTGCCGACGCCATATGACTCAGCAGCAAATGGTCTCTTTTAAGGCTGGGAAGCTGCTCGCCGCGATGCGGCTCTGGCATCCAGGGTTTCGCATTAGGCGGCGGCTCGTGTTCCACATCCATGAAGCTACTCGTTCGGCTGCGGGATCCAGCCTCCATCGGAGAGCGCTGGCGGTGTCCTTGGTGACTCTGGTGGCTCTGGTGGCTCTGGTGGCTTTGCTGACCTCGGCTTGCCGGTCGCGAAACCTCGCCAGGCACTAGACTTGCCAAAGGAGGCGCCTCGTCGTTGGATCGACCATCATCCTGAGTCGGATCGTATCTTAATGTTCGCGGCGGCTGCTGACTTGATGGGTTGGACTCGACGTGCGCCTCATCGGCACTGCTGCTTGCCTCGCGATTAAGCCAAGCAATCTCTTCTTCTGTGATAGTCTTCCAGCTACACTTGGCGTGCTTTTTCGTGCAGCCTTGGCAAGCTGTCAAATGCTTTACACAAGGCGACTTGAGTCTACGACAGCGGTCGCACGGGGGCCAAATCTGATCCCCTTTGCTCAACTTCTCGATTCGTGCTGTGATAATGCCTCTGTGCGCGGATGAAGGGTCGTATGAAGAGTCTCGCTGAGGGATGACCGGTGGATGCACTGCGACCGGCGGACGGCCCTGAAGAGGAAGCGAGTGCGGATGAGGGTTCGTTGCAGGGGGTGTATGCTGCCCGGAGTGAACCTCTAGGCCGGCACTGGATGGAACGCGCGGAGGATAGATCTGAGATGTCGACAGAAACTGCTGGAGTAGGTCGGCATGTAGGTCATAAGCGGAACCGTGGCTGCCTACATGACGTTGAGGAAGGTTGACGGAGGAGAACGTGGAGCTGTTCGATGTTTGGCCCCCATGGCGTGAGTTGATGCCGGCTTTTCGACCACTCAGATGGTAGTTTAATTGTCGCGCCCTCTTGGCAATTTCGTCGGCCTTCTTGATGAGCACCTGCAGTCGTTGTTCCACGATTTCCAGAGTGGCTACTTCGGCCGTCTCGTCCTCTTCCAATGGGGCCGTAGAGACAATGGAAAACCTGTCCAGAGCACCATTCATAATGAGTCGCCAGTCGTCCTCCAGGATCTGGACCTGCAAGCCGTTCAGGTAGAATTGGCAAGTGCGCTCTCCATCGTGGCCGGTAGTCAAGACGAACTTCTCTGGATTCGTCTTGGCAAATGAGACGATGTCCAGCCAGCCCACAGACGGCGCGCCGTATGCGGCGGGCGGATTTGTGATGATGGGGCCTTCAAAGGCACCCTCCATAGCCTTGAGCAGGCGGGGGCCTGTCAGTTTCGCGCCCAGGTTGGCGGCCAGACTCTCATGTCTATTGAGTACCCCTAATCATGGCTAAGTCTTGGCATTCAATAACACGAATCAGGACCAGGGCAAATCTTACCTTCATACTGGTTTAATAGGCCAAGAACATCGGAAAAAGTGTCAGGCTCGCCCTGGATGAGCCTGAGCTTGCCAGCACTGGCTTTGGAGAGGTAGTTGATGATGGATGAGTTGCCTTGGAGGTGACGATTAGCACTTGCTCCATGGCAGCAGTCTGGATCGCGCGCGAACGAGGCCGAGGGGAGAGTGTATTTGGATGGGAAGGCAAGGTGAGCAAGGGCTGTGAGGCAACGGGCTTCGGGAAGAGAGGCCTCGATGCAAATTCTGAGTGAAAACATGCGAAGAGACAAGACAGAGGGGAAGGGGCATAACAAGGGCGGCGGCGCTGGCAGGCAGGCCGGGGCGAGGGATCAATGGCGAGTCTAACCTCGATTGCCTCCGGGCGCGATGACAAGATGCAGTTGCAGTTGATGGACGAGATCGACGGCTCATGCTTTCCGCTTGTCTTGTTCTTGTTGTTGGAGTTCGGCATGGATCACACACACTGGCGCACCGCACATACCTGACTGAGGCGGAGGAGGCTGGGGAATGCGATCGGAGTGAGCTGGCTGGCCGCCGCTGTCGTCTGCGTCCCGTTTCCGTTTATGAGGTTCTTGGGAATCCTGGGCATGCGCCATGGCGAGCAGATCACCAGCGAGTTGGAGTTGATGATGGGTCTCACGGAGTGGTTGGAGTCGCCAGGTGTTTGTGTGTGTGGCTCTCCTTCTCTCTCTTTTGCTTTTCTGTGGTTTGCTTCTGCTGCAGCCCTCCCCCAGTCAAAGGGCACAACAAAAGATGGGAAGGATGAGTTGTCGGCGTCAGGTTGGAAAACGGGGGCGGCAGAGAGGGCTGAAGGCTGAAAAGCCTTGGAGGGTAGAAAGAGAGATCAAAACCTAGTAGTAGGTTGTTTGGTTCATGGCGAAGCAGCACCTTAATAGGTGCAGTGGCAATGCAAGCCGAGGGCTGGCAGGCGAAGAATGCCTGAGGTAACGGCGGAGTGGGAGTTGGAGCTTGACTGGAGCAAGCTTCGAACGAAAGAGGAACGAGAGAATTGTTGATGGAGGGGAACGCGACAAGGCGGGCGGGCCAAGAAAGACGGGGGTGGTGGTGGTGGTTGTGTGGTGGTGGGAGGGGGGGACCCAGGTCAGACAGAGTGAAGGAGAGAGGGAGACTGGGAGAGCGTGGAGTGAGAAGAAGGCGAGGGTTAGAATTGGGATTTGTACGGGGAGGTAGGAGTAAGGACGGAGATGGACGTTTGGCAACGGCAGGCCTGGGGCGGGAAACGACGAGGGACTGGACTGAACAGGACAGGCTGGAGACCAATGGGGGCGAGACAGGGCGAGGGATTGCGGTGCAGTGCAGCAGCGCAGTGCCGTAGGTAGGTAGGTAATTAGGTAAGGTACAGTGCCCTGCCGACTAAAAAGAATGAGAGAATTGGATGAGAGCCCGACGGGACGTTTAGGTACCTTAAGGTAGGTAAGGCGTGGTAATTAACGATTGGAGGCGTTAGAGCGAGACTTACAGAGCACCTCGCCTTCCCTTTACTCGACGGTCGACGGGAACCACGGGCTCACTGCCCGCGCAAGAGAGAAGAACGGCGGGCGCAGCTTGCAGCGGCGAGGGGGAGGAGGAGGAGCAGGAAGGGGGGACGAATTGTCCAATTACAGGCGCAGAGGAGACAGCTGGCTCTAGGTGTCGTGTTTCCCACCCCCCTACACTGCGTGAACCTGTGTGAGTCTGTGGCGGGTTCACTCACTGAGGTGCTGTAGGTAAGGTACCTACCTAGGTATGTAAGTGTAGGTGCTTGCTCGTGGGTGCTGAACGGGACACTGGGACACTACTGAGGTGGACTTGGGGGAGAATGAGATGCAGCAAGGGCGGCGGGGTTCCACTAAACGGATGGGGCCGGGGGTGGGAGGGTGAGGGGGCCCGGCGTCCTCTTTCGTTCGTCGGGAGGGAGGGAGCCTAAAAAGCTTGGACAGACGGAACCCGAGGAGGGCGCGCTGGCGCTGGTTGAAGCTTTTGAGGAGGGTGGAGGACGCCTAAGGGGGACAAGCGGGAAAGCGGGCACCGGCAGCAAGCAACTGGACCACCACCACCCCCCATCGGTCCCTATCTACCTTATCCACAGGTCCAGCGCAAGGGATAATCACCTACCTACCTACCTAGGTATCTTACCTGCCTTGCCAGATACTTTACCTTACCTTACTTTACCTTAGGTACCTAGGTAAGGGAAGTGACGGCACCAAAAGCACGATGGATGATGGATGACCTATGGACGTGCCAAGTACGCTGCGCGGTCCTGCCTTCTCGACTCGGGACTGACGATGATGCGCCTTTTTGCGTCCCCGACTCTTGCGACTCTGCGGGCGTCTCGTCTCGTCTCGCTCTTGTCCCGAGGCAACCCAGACCGGCCCAGCCCAGCTCAGCCCGGCGGAATAAATGTCGCAAATATCCCACTGCAATGAGAAATAAACTGCGACAGGAACTACCTTACTTGAGGTAATAGATCGCTACGGGGGTGGCGCGGGGACCCGGCGCAACAACCTCCAGTCCTCTTCACGAGCCCAGACACGGTACGGATCTGATGCGCCTTAGCTAAGATGAGGTAAGATTGAAGGGCATCCATGTCACTCGGAGGGCAAGGCGAGTACTAATAAGAAAGACGAGACAAGGGACGGCACCACGGCAGCGGTACCACGGCAAGGCAGCGGCGGCGCGGCGTCGTTGAACGAGCTCCCTCGCCGGCCCTCGAGAACCGAAGGAGGCCGCTGGGCGCAGTGTACTTGGGTAAAGTCCCTGCCTGCCTCCCGCCTCCTCACCTCACCTAGCGCAGCGAATCTGAAATTAAGAGATCAAACAATACGACGAGCGGGCCTAAGAACCTTTGGGGGTGCCTGTCTTGTTTTCAAAGGTGCCGACGACTCCAACAAAGTGCAGTGCACAGCCTGGAAACTGGGGAAATGGAGCCCGCCGCGCCTTGCTTCGACCAGTCGGCTTGGACATGACACAAAAGAGAGAGACTTTCAAGAACGACTGACGGCGCTGGCACTGGTAGCTCGACTATCATCTGGCGTACACACTACACCACAATCTGGTGCTGCGTGTCCACTGAAGAGAAGTAACTGTACATTCATTCATTCGATGGCTGACCTTGCCGTGAGACACGCCCGCCCGCCCGCCTGGATTGTGAGACTCCCATTAGCGATCCGCCAACAGAAAGAATGGCAAGGTTGGCGGGTGGGAAACCGGGGCGGCCCTGACCATCACTCGTAGATCCTCACCTGTTCACATGCCGCTTCAGGACACCGAGCCTCTGCACTGTGGAAAACCCCCGGTGGATCTATACACCGTGTGTATCCTAAGGTATGCCCATGTGTGAGTGTGAGTGTGGTGTGTGGACTGTGGAAGCATATTTCCATCCATCATCACCCAGCAGGTCTGCCGTCTTACCCTGCCCGGGCTTAGACACAAGCATAACGTTAAAGGAATACACGCACGCCTTGCCTGACTGACTTCACACATCGCCTCCCGCGGGGACCAGACCAGAGCAATTGCTGGAGCGGAGAGGTGGCGGATAGTCAGTGCGAAACCTGTAATTACCGCCCATTTGCGGTGCGGCGTGGGAAGCAAAAAGCCGTGCCTTCGCCCGCGCACAGAACCTTGGATGGATGGAACCTTTCTAGAACTGGCACTGGAAACACACAGAGACCCGACGGTTAGGAAGCTTTGTCTCCTTCGGACGGAGCGGAACGCGAGGGAGACGTGGGAGTCTGGAGACGGACGGTGGAAGGGTATCGGGGTATCAAACTTACGCTGAGCTGTCAAAGTATCTACACCAACTTTCCCATTACCACACACGGTACATACCATACACCAAACCATTTTGCGTAAGGTACTCCGACATTCTCGGGCAAAGGCAAAGGTACCCGGCAACATGCTTCCTCCCTCCGCCTGGGATGTCTGCCAGCGCGCCGGCCCCGTCGTGTCGTGTTTCGGGGCGACTCAGCAGGAGTCGGGCGCAGGCCATGGAATGGAATAGACGGCACTTGAGAGGATGCCGTATTAAGGCATGTTCCTAGGGTCGACCTGAAATGTTCCCGCAACGCTTCTAATTATGTCTAAATCTCACATGGTATGTGCCCGCCGGCTCATCCCTGCTTCTTTTCATCTAGGTAGTCTCAACTTTTGCACTCCTCCACAGTGTCTTTGCCGGATCTAGCCTGACTTTGCCGTTGTCTGTCTCCTGAACAAGACAGGAAGTCCATGTCCAAACGTCCCAAGTTCTTCTCATCATGCACGTGCGGATCTTGAGGGCCGCTGAGGTGGGATGCAACACCTTGCAACGCGACAGTGATGGGCGAGAAAGAGTTCTCGGCAACCAACGACTGACCAGACCACGAATACTAAGTAAACACTGTCTCACAGCATACCACCGTTTCTGAGCTCTGCCCCAGTGAAGTAACATCTTTATTTTTGGGGGGGCCTGTCATGTTTGAGACTGTCGGCCGGGTCTCTCCTCCGTCGCAATGTAGATTGTTTGGTTTGGTTTGGTTTGGTTTGGTTTCCCTAGGGTGTTAGTCCCCGTCCGTCGTTCTTGTCGATTGCGACCCCCTGTCCCGACTCTCGTGATCCCCCTCGCTTCGTAACTGCGGTACGTAAGGCATGTGGTCCAGAACCAGATTATCGGAGAAGCGCAATTTCGACTGTTGCGCCCGGAGCCCGGCCTTCCTCTCTGGCTTGCCGTAAAGCAGAGATTTCCCACTGGCATTTTTGACCTGCCTTACGCGACCTCGCTTTGCCTAGGAACCTAGGTAGGATATGAAGTAGGTATGCATGTACTTGCTTAAGGTAAGTTCGCCGTAAGTAAGGTTAGGTAAGGTAAGTAGGTACTTGACAAAAACCCTGGCTCCTGACGTAAAGCTTAGCGCGTCCCTCTGCATGGCAGACCTCCTGTGTGGCACGGAGCGGTGTGCCAAGACTTGCTGGAAATCAGAACAACGGCCGAACCTCACACCAGACACCACAAATATCGCTCACCACGCGTCACAGTTCCCCCAATCAGGCAAGAAAATTGCATCCCGCCACGATCCTGGATGACCAGTACCTGGGCCAAATCTTCTGTACATGATGCATCTTGCATATGACAGTGGCAGTGTGCGTAAGGTTAGGTAGGCCTAGGCCTCCCCCTCCGCCCTCTTCCGTCGCCATGCCGGGCGCGCCCATCTCCGCCAGTCGACGCATCACTTACACGATGATAGACTGGCCGTCGCTGCCGTAGCATTTGAACGACACCAACCTAACCCATTCGCGCCAAGACGTTTCACTTTCCCCTGCCTTGCTGCAAAAGTCGCCAGTCAGACTGGCCGATCTGAACGAAATTAGATTGCAGTTCACTGCATTCGCAACGGTGACGAGTCGACCACATTGGTTGATTTTGATTTGCCCTGCACTGCGAAGACGTGCTCGGTATCGCTTGGGTTTGCACCTTGGTCTTGGCGTCGAGATCATCACTGTGCTTTTTTGGGACGTGTGTTCCGCCGCTTGCCGCTGTCGCTGCCTGAAATCAGTCATCCATTGGACAAGTTCCACTGCATCCTCAACTGCTTCAGCTCCGGTATCTTGGTGACCTATTTGAGTTTCACATGGCGGCCAGGAAGCGCCAAGTGAAAACGAGTTCATCCCGTGAAGCGCACGCAATGGATGTCCATACTGTCTGTACACACAGCAGAGTTCTCGATCGCCATGGTGTGGTAACAAACGCCGAAAATAGCTTCGGGCCCCTGGGTGAATGTGACAAGTCCAACTACGAAGCAAGCAAGTAGCGGGTGGAATGCATGCATGCAATGCAGTTCAACTTGTAAATCCCATCTCACCTCGCTTCATCGAGAAACCCGGCCGGAGAAGCTGCCTCAGTGCCTGTCCCGTCCCGATCTCAAAATCATCGAACCAAGGTTCCCCGCCAATCACGGGGAAGGGTCACTTGACGGCGGGGGACGCGGGCCCCACTACAGCCCGGACCAACCTAAGCTCAAGCTTCCTCTTTTTCCCCTTCCCGCCGGCCACCACCGACCTCACCCCAGCAAGTCCAACGACGACCAGCGGCGCGACAGGCACACCACGACGTCACACCAGCCAGACCCGTACCGAGCTCGCGCATCAGCCAGGTACTCGGGCGATTAAGCACACCGCTTACCACGCACGAGATTACGACGACGAGCGGCCAATTGCAAGCACTGCGAAAAACAACCACGCACACACAATCATAACCCCGCCACCACTACTACACACCTTGACAGCGCGACGATGGCGGACAGAGGATCCCACAGAGGCGGCGGTCGAGGGGGCGGAGGCGGCTACCGCAGCGGGCGGGGAGGAGGAGGTCGGGGCGGCGGAGGCGACCGCGGAGGAAACCACGGTTCCGGCGGCGACCGCGAGAGACCCAAGAAGGAAAACATTCTCGACCTGTCCAAGTACATGGACAAGCAGATCACCGTCAAGTTCAACGGCGGACGTGAGGGTACCGATTCGCCGCCCTCCATCACCCAAACTTAGTCCGTTGTTTCGCTGACCTTGGTGATAGTTACTGGTACCCTCAAGGGTTACGATGCCTTGATGAACCTGGTCTTGGACGAGGTCCAGGAGGTCATGAGAGGTAAACGCACCCAGCTACACCCACCGCCTAATGAGCCGAATGTTTGCTAACCCGATTCCTTGAACTAGATGAGGAGGGAAACGAGACCACTCGATCGTTGGGCCTCGTTGTTGCTCGTGGAACTTTGCTTGTCCTTGTTAGCCCCGTCGACGGCAGCGAGTCCATAGCCAACCCCTTCGCTCAGCCCGAGGATGATTGATCGGCCTAAGCAACCAAACCTGGAAACGAGTCTAGACGACATGATATGTGGTGGAAAATCAACGCTACCGGCGCCATGCCCGGGTTATGCTGCATGGTGTCCAACTTATACCCACAACCAAGGGCATCAATGAATCAGGACATGTCGTAATATTTGTGGTCATGAGAAGTAAAGGAAATACTCCCGCGCATCAAAATTGCGCAAGATGTTAGCAGCGATGGGAACCACCCTCCTTCGACATCCTGGTGGCCAGTTGTAGTACTGGTGGTGCGTCTAATTTGATGGATACCCCCACATCGACATGCGCAAGAAAAGAAGGAACAGGAAGAAATCTGTTTCGCTGCTCTCTGCATCACCTCGTCTACCGATGTCTCGAAAAAGGGGGAGAGTGAGATGTCAACCCCTCTCGTATCTATATCGCCTTCCCCACTCGGGGTCGCTTGAAACGCACTCGCTGTGATAACATTTGAACCGTGCAAGTGCTCTGTTTCTCGCTCCCGTCATACATCCAAGCATAAAATCCTAGCCCCGTCCATTCAGTCATTTCCAAACCTCAATAGGCCAGCGTCGATATTCGGTTCCAGGCCGTAAGTGTCTTGTCGCGCCAGAGACTTCCCGTTTCACACGCAACCTCGAGATCGAGATCTCATCTTCCACCTCGCCTCTTCTGGTACTTGCGCGCCCGTGTGCTCCATGATTTCCGATGCAGAGCATTCCGATCCTAATGGGATGGGCCTTGAAATCCCCGACCCGCCGGCTGTTTCCCCCCCTTGAGAAGCTCCCCGAATGCATTGCCAAGCTGCTTCTTCAGCTCCTTATAGCTGACCACGAAGCTGGTCTGTTCATCCCGGCTTGTCAAGCAGATTCGGTCATCACTGCCAGCATCTAACCTGTTCAGACACCGGATGATGTGGCCCATATCAACCACAGGGTTTCCGTTGGCGTCGACTTGGTGGAAAACATAATCGCGGAACAGCTTCAACATATACCTTTCGCCGTTCTCCGACCATGCTCTGTCACCGTCGAATTCTTGGCGTTCATTGACCGCACCCAGCTTCGCCATGAGCCGCACCAATCGGCCATTTTCTAGTTCCCTGAAAAGCTCCGACTTGAGTGTGTCGGCTTCGTGGAGGCTAGCATCCAAGGTTGCTACCATGTGGACAGCGATGCCTCTTACGAATTCTTCGATTCCCTTGGGTGTAGCGCCTGGAGGAGCCGGCGTCAGAAGCCACAAGACAGTATCGGTGATTTCCTTAGAATACGTCCGGCCCATCTGCTCAATTGGCCCCTTTAATTGACTTGCTTGCAGGTTGGTCAGCTGGTTTGGTAGCGTGTTTATCGCCAATGATAAAATCAGTTTGCCAAAGTGGATCAAGTCCTCTTGCTGCAGATCCTGTATAGGCCGACGTGTTTCAAAGTGAACTACATCCAAGATGGAGCAGGCGCCAAGGCGAATGCGGTTCTTGTCTGTAACTATGATTTTGCTCATATCGAGACACCGAGCGGCAAGGTTCAAAGCGTGGATGGCCTTCAACGCGTTGGCTATCTGCGAAACGTAGCCCCACAAGACGCCTTCGGCAATCGGCGTTTTGGCGGCAAACCTGCTGGCGTGGGCGGTGCCAGCGTGTGGGAAGTGTAGCTCGGCAAGGGTCTTGGAGAGCGGATGGTAGTCCTGGACAAAGAACAGAGAACTGTCCCCGAACGCGCGCGTGGTGAACGCATCATGAATCGATACCACGTTGCCGTTGTTAAGTCGTCGCCACTCCTTGACCGAGCGAATGGCATGCTCGTTTGTCAACCGAAAACCTGATACTGTCAGCTGATGTACGAGTAAATCTGGAGCAAGCCACCACCTTCTAGTCTTCGGAGGCAGTAGGTCCTGCCATTCTTGGACGACGTTGCCTTGTACACCCACGTCGTGTATCCAAAAACACTAGAGCTCTTCCTATGGCTAGTGTCCAGGGGAACGAGAGAGAAGTAATTGTCCAGCGGGGGCAGTGTAGAGTCTGCCGGGTCGTTAGCATTTCTGGCCTCCCCCGTCGTTCCTGTGGTGATACTCACTTGGCATAACTTGCTGCAAAGCTTCGGATCTGCGTTGCATGTCCTCACGAAGCTTATCAGGAATAAAAAAGTCATGAACCTGTCTCTGGAAGGGGGCCAGATCGTCTCGATACGGACCAACAGGGGCGTATAGATGATATTGCAGCTACAATTGTCAGTAACCGTGAAACCCTGCGGGCTAGCTATCTCTTACGGGTTGAAGGGGTCCAGTGTAAGCATTTTGATGTTGGAAGAACGCTGCATTAGAACCGACAAGGCCTGTCGGATCATCTGCATAGGGGTTGAATTGTGTTGTCGGCAGGGCCTGGGCAACACTTGTCATTGTGAAGGGATCATAATTGATCCCCGTGTCAGAGGCAGCACCATTAGCGGTGATCTGGTACAATTAGCCATGGCTGTTTCTGATTCCTGACATGTTCCGCTGACTCTTCTTACACCAGTGCTTAACTCAAAGTTTTGGGGAGTGAATTCTCGCAACGTGGCGGGGTTGAAAACGGTTGATGAGGTTTCATTCTCTTGTGCAGCAGGTGTAGCAGCTGGCAGGCATCAGCAACAACTTCATAGTTTCAAAACTTCTAGACTTACAGCCGGCTCCCCTGGGAGTAAAGACTGCTGCACTCGCAGCCTGCGATGAGAACGTTGATTTCTTTGTCGAAGCCCCAAAGACATTGGAGCTTGGAGATGCTGTCGAGGGTAGACCAGCGGGGGTGAAGGAGGGTGAGTCGACATTAAACGTCTTCTTCGAGCTATTATAAACCTGTTAGCTCTGCCTACCCATTGCTTGTGTGTGCTATGTGTGTTATTTGTTTGTGTGTGGTGTTTCTACCATCGTTTTTATGGCAGATGACAAAGTAAAATGCCTGCACCAGCTTTCGGCCCAAGGCTAGCTCTGACATCTCTCGATTATCCCTGGACTTTGTTGTGGGAAACCTTAAGATATTCGTTAAGCAGCATGTCAAGTCTCATTCCTCAACGAGACTTGATTTCCTTGCCCCCTGGCCTTTATCTCTTCCAATACCGCTTGGTTCAAGGATTCCCGATATAACGGCCCACCCTCTACGCGAATCTTCCCCCCTTCACTGTCTGCCTGAACATATGTGTCGTGGAAACGACGCGCTCGTCCCTTGCAATGGCACAGTCCAGTAGTGATGCCTTGTTCGCCTTATTTGTAACTATGGAGCAGTTGTTCCATTGGGGAGTCCTCAAGATGCGGGGGTGACGCCTAGTGTATCCGAGTGCTCGCAACAGCACGATTTGACAGTCTCGTAGTGGTACCAGAACGCGGCGGAAGGTGGGCAATGGGAGGAGTGCGAGGCGGAGTGTATGAGAGAGAGGGAGATCACCTACAATTCTGATTGAGTGCTCTGCCCTCCCGGGCTATTCTGGGCCGAGTTGGGTCGATTTTGGTCGTGGTTGAAGGCGCAACCAGCGTTTTCGTACCGGCAGTGGCCGTATATCATAACGTTTCGGCATTGCGTATCCTTGTTCTCTGAGCGAATTGACTACAAGTCAGTCATAAAGGATTGACGGGTCGGGCAGGTAGCAAGTTGAGTCGCGGTTGTCTACTCGCCTCGGGTTTTGGGCTTTGGTGATCCGACTTGTCGACGGAGGTCGGACTGCGGGTATCGCGAGGTGGCCATGATCAGTACGGTTGATAGGTGAAAGTTTCGCCCCCTTGGTCGACGCTACGACGTCTGCAGAGAGTCAGCCAAATGCTAAGCCCATGATCTCGACAGCGAAGGTGGTTCCTTGTGTTGGTTGAACGCGCGCGCGCTGGACGTGGAACTGGAACTGGGACGGGGCCTTGGACTGGGCGGGGGAGACAAAGCGGGCAACAGAATGGATGCAGAAGGACTGGAGCTCGCGTGGGGCTGGGGCGACGGGGGGTGGTAGAGCGAACAATTTTGGCCCGACGCACTTGATCCTTGCAGACATTTCCCATGCTTCGAACAATGTTGGTGGGGTAGGCTTCTCGGTCATGGACACGACAAGGGCGAAGCTGAAGCTGGCTGAGGTTGGCCGACGGCGATTCGCAGAGAGAATTGGTGAAGTGAGGTCGAGCGGCTGGTAAACAATGCAAGGCGACGTCGGAAGAGTTGGAGGAGGGTGGTGACGGGATAACGAATGGGATACCAGACGATCGATCTGCGCGCGCCGCGACGACGCAGGTGGAGGAGACAAGAGATCTGCAGCTCACCGCAAGGTGAAGTCGGGCGGCGTAGCGACGTCGGCGGCAGCGACGAGGACGATGAGGACGTCGAGTGGTAGCCGCGACGATGCGAGGACGATGATGCAGGCCAGGCCTGTTCCGTTGTCTGCCAGGTGGGAGACTGGGAGAAGTGCACGCGCGGGACAGCCAGCCAGACACCTTCCCTACCTACGTGCCTAACCGTTGGTACCTTGCCTGCAAGCGTCTCGCCCTGTCTTAGTCGAGTACTGTCCCGTCTCAATTTCGGGGGCAGGAGGAGGGGAGATGATGACACTGGACTGGACCCGACACCTGCCCGCATGAAAGGCCTCCGACACCTCTCAAGCCTACAGATGTGCTGAAGCCACTGGACTGGACGGACAGCCCTTGGAAAGCACCTAATTACCTAACCTAGGTAATGGAAAGCGCCAATGTCCTCCGCTAAGTGCATTAAGCGCATTGGACATGATTCATGTTCTCCGCGATAAGCGATAAGCCTCTTAACACGTTGCGACGCCCCGAACGCGGTGCATGGCAGACGCGATTCCAGGTATGTAGCCTGGAAGTTGGGAACTCTCCTCGGCAGAGCAGATACGTAAATACAGATAGACACCTACGGATACCTTAGGTGCTTTGGCAGCCTCCACTCGCGGACAAGTGTCGTCACCGGACGACATTCGCCTGCAACGATTATCGTCTTTCGTGGCAGCATGAAGTGGACCGCTCTTGGCTGCCCGCCTTCAAACACCTCACCGGTGCCTTACCTGCCTCCTCAAAGCCAGCTGCTTACTCTTCGGTTCTTTCTGCAGCGCTTTAGCCTCTTCCCTCTCAGCCATTTCACCTGTGCGCGGCTGGCTACCTTGTTGGCTCATCCAATTACCTAAAGGTACCTATACCTGCCTTTAGACGACCACCGTCGAGTTGGTTTTCTCCAACAACCGCCTTCTTTCATCCTTTGTTCCGCCTGCGACATTGGCGTCGCCGCCACCAAGCATTACAGTCTTCACGACCCTGTCATAAAATCTTCCAGATTATTGCCAAGGCACAACCCGCTTGTCATCCACGTCCCTCATGGGCTGCCGAACCGATTGTACATCAAGCGCACCAGGACAGATCTACAGCCCAGCATGGCAGAGACCCAGGACATCGACATAGGACAGCTGTCCGCAAGCGAGCAAGAAGCTTTGCAGCAGTACACCCAGGTTACGAATCAGGAATTGAAGGATGCGATACCGCTACTGCGAAGATCACAATGGAACGTTCAGGTATGCACCAGTTCCACCAGAAATAGCATCTAGCCCCGGCTTTCGCTCACAAAAGTCTTCCTACAGATTGCCATCGCCAAATTCTTTGACGGCGAGGGGCCTGACCCCGTCGCAGAAGCCATGGCACAAGAAATTCCCAGAACAGCCGCACGACACGAAAACCTCCAAGAGAGTCTAATGGCCTCCTCAGGTCGCCCGCAGCCGCCCCGAAGAGATCGACCCGACCCCGCCCCGCGAATCGTCCCCCAGCCGAACAACTACCACAGGCCACCATTTCTCGTCGGACTGTTGCTGGCCCCATTCTCTATCGGCTACACCATAGCTTCCAAGCTGTTCCGCACCGTCTTCTACTTGCTCAACTTTCTGCCTGCGCAGCTAAGGCCACGAGCGATTGCGGCTGGGTCGGGTGCCGGCCTGAGAAGTACAAATGGGCGTCGCATGCTGATGCCGCGGGACACCGCTGCCCGATTCAAGCGGGAGTTCGAGGAGGAGTATGGCAACACCGAGCTTCCGTGGTTTGAAGGCGGAGTCGCCCAGGCGCAGGACCTGGCCAAGAAAGAACTCAAGTTCCTACTGGTCGTCCTCATGTCACCCGAACATGACGACACCGAGTCTTTCACCCGCGAAACTCTGCTCGCTCCCGACGTCGTCAGTTTCATAAATGACCCGGCCAACAATATCATCCTTTGGGGCGGTAACATCCTGGATTCGGAGGCCTATCAAGTCGCGCAGGAGTACAATTGCACGAAATACCCCTTCTCGGCTATTGTCTGCTTAACCCCTAAGGAAGGTAGTACCAGAATGAGCATCATCAAGCGTCTGGCCGGACCCATGCCCGCATCGACGTATCTCTCAGAAGCACAAGCTGCGATCAATAAATATGCGCCGGACTTGGCTGGTGTCCGGGCCGAGAGAACAGCACAGGAGGTGGCACGGAGCTTGAGAAATGAGCAGGACTCTGCCTACGAGCGCTCACTGGCAAAGGACAGAGAGAGGGCACGACAGCGACGCGACGCAGAAAAGGCTGCTGCAGAGGCCGCCCGAAAGGCGGAAGAGGAGGCAGAGGCTGCGGCGCATTTGGCAGAGCAACGGGATCAGTGGAAACGTTGGCGGGCAACGACGATCGAGGACGAACCTCCCGCCAGCAGCAAAGAGATTGTCCGCGTTGCATTGAAAATGCCCGAGTCGTCCGGAGCGGGCAGAATTGTGCGCCGGTTTCGCAGCGACACTACCATGGAAGCACTGTACGCTTTCGTGGAATGCTACGACTTCGTGGGGGCGTCGGAGAAACCTACGGCGCAGCCTGAGGGTTACGAGCATGAGTATCAGTTCCGAATTTCATCAGTCATGCCCCGGGTAGTGTACGAGCCCAGCAAAGAGGAGACAATGGGTCATAAGATCGGGCGGTCAGGAAACTTGATTGTTGAGGAAGTATCAGCAGACGGGGACTCTGATGAGGGCGAGGATTACTCGTCTTGATTGGCGCAGGTCATAGAACACCGCCCCATTCTATGCAGGACGGGTATATGATGAATCGGTTAATAGAGTAGACGGCGGCAGCATCATGATGTACAGAACAATTCAGCAGTATTTACAGCCATACTTGGTCCCATGGCCTAGGCGGCTTTGTCGGCCTAGACCGCTACTGTGCCGGACTCTCCGAACAGAAAACTTATCGCCGAAGATGTCAAGCGGGAGCCGTCTTGGCAGACGAGTGAAGTGTGTTGTCGCAAAAGATGTCAAAGCTTGAAAGAGGCAGCCAGGGCCCGATGATGAAGTATCGCGGGGGCGCTAAGAGGGTTGATTTGCGTGGCCTATGGGTGTCTTGGGAACCCCACAGGAGAGGACTGACAGGTGCGTGAAGCTGCAGGTGCCGTGGCGCTGTTGATAACCACGTAAGTGGTCAGCTGTCATGAGGGTGTACGGCGGCAAGTGCTTGCGTGGAATAATGAGGCTGTGCAGCGAACGACTTGGCTGGTGCAGCCGGAGTTTATGGACAGCAAGGAGAGAGTGAGAGAACTAGGCGGACACGGTAAAGGAATTGGAAAAGTGTGAGCCGTGTAAGACAAGAGAGAACGAGAAAGGGAAAAAAAAAAAAAATAGATAATTTACTTAGCTTCTGGCATGGGCTCGAAATAAGGGCGAGCGGTTCTGATGGCGGCATACAATGGCCGTCCGATGATTACATCGCCTTGCCTTACTGAGTGCGGGTAGGTAATACCTTAGGTACGGAGCGGGTGGAGGAGGACCCTGAATTATGGCATGAATATACTTTCCAAGTTAGACATTTACCGGCACATGTCCAAACGGGGGCTGTCTCTGGTTGATGCGACTCCAGTTTTTGCTCATATTTTTTAGTTTCTTTCTTTTTTCCTCTGTTGTTTATTGTTGTTATTTTTATAATTTGCGGTGTTGTTTTTCTGCGCATGACAGCACAGCAGTAAGTGCGTGATGTTTTTGATCTCCATGTCGTCTGTTTTGACTGGAATGCCATGTTGCAGATTACATGCGGGTGGACTGCTGCTAGACCGGTCACTGGTCTGGGGACGGCATTCGCCCCGGTCTTCGGGACTGCTACCTACCTTACCTTACGGTAGGGACATAGTAGGCACGGTTACAGGTAAGGTACGATAGACTATCTGTACCTTATGGTGGAGATGGATGGGGATTTTGCGATGGCGTCGCCTCGTCGTCGTCGTCACGTCTGCACACGGGGCTGGACGCCGTACGAATACCTGGCGTTGGCACCTTGCCGCAGCAAGCAAGCCCTTCTTCCCGATGCTCCAGCCTCTCTCCCTCCTCCTCTCTGATACTTCAACCCCAATTCCTCCGACTTTCTCTCCGCAGCGGTGAATATACCTAGATCTCGCAGCGACCAAACCATAAGCTTAAACTCGTTGCCTCATCTTTCGTACCCTACTTACCTATACTTACATACCTACCCAACTTACTAACCTACCTACGGTACCCGTGTTACCTTGGACACAAGACCGCTACCGCCGGCTTCCGCTGTCGCACATCGCAAAAGGAGGCCCAGACTCAAACACCCGACCCGGCCCTGGCCCTTGCCGTCGACTTCTGCTGTCTCCCGTGGCTGCTGAGACTGAGAAGGTAGCAGTAAGGTGTCTGTCTGTAGGTAGGTAGTACGAATAGCCACACTGCCACTGACGAGCTGCCCAGAGGCTAGCGGTGGCCCTGTCAGCTACCTACCCTTGCCTACCTAGGTGCCTAGGTCGAGTGCATTCGTAGGCACGAAGACTAGCCCCTCTAACCACCCCCGCGCCGGCAGCAGATCGTCTCCAACGGTCGAATCCACTGCCCATCCAGCACCCACAAACATCCAACACACACTTGGCACCAGACAGAGACGCACGTACGCACGCACTCACTCACTCACTCCCGTCACTCACTCCACGCACTTCAAGGGACCCCGTGGACCACAGAGCGCGCGGGACGCCGGGCTGAGGTTTAATTTAAAATAACCCCCCAGTTCGTCTGGCCCTTCCCACCACCGAGCGTCACTTCCAGGCTGCAGCTCGACAGGCCCTGCGCATCCGTACATTCTTCTTTCCGACAAACAACAGCCTGCTGAACTTCCCGTCCTGCCCGTCGCTTCTTGTCACGGACAATCCAATCCAGTCCTGTCCCAATCCCAAACAGCTGCAACCTATCTGTACCTACCTCACCTACCTTACCTCTGCTGGTCCTGCACCCGCTCGCTCCTACCCTTCGACCCTAACCCAGACACAGACACAGACATCTGTCACTTCTGTCTGTTCTTTCGCATCAGCTGCACTCGTCCGAGATATCCCCCCTCCCACCGCTCGTCCGCCATCAGTTTTATCCTATCCCCCAACCTAGAATCCTGACTGCCCTGCCTTTTTTATTCCGCCGGTTGGTCCGCCTCTCCATCTTCGGACCCTTGAAACCCGTGCTTCCTTTCCCCTACAACCACTCAGGCGCTCCGACGCCCGCCTACCAGACGCAAAGATGAAGGCCATGAAGGGGCTTAGCGTTAATCGCATGATGAGCACGCTCAAAAAGCGAACAACCACAAGTGAGTAAAGATGCGCCTGCGCGCGTGCCCGCCCTCCTTCCTCGGCCGGCACGGCATGCACGGTCATCGCGAAGGGAGTGCTGATCGACGTCCCTCCGCAGGCTTCAGTGGACCCGGCGAGGTGTCGGCGCCGGACCCGCAGAACGATACCCCCGAAGCCATCGCAGCTCGCAGCGTCGTACGCCAGTCCCGCCTCTTCCGAACCAATCTTCGCCGCTAATCATCTTGTCAGAGACAATTCTGCGAGTCTGGAGGTCCCAATGCCCAAGTACGTTCTCTCTCACGACGCACGCGACTCTCAGGAGACACCCGCTGACCCGAACCTCTAGGGCGATGAAGTCCTTTACCTCCCGCCCATCGTCGAGGCCGCCGAATCTTCTCCCGCAGCCGCGGCCGAGTGCGCCCGCATCATTCGAAAATACTTGTCAAAGGATAACATGGCCAAGGCCTCGTGGCAGTACAACGCCATTATGTTGATTCGCATCCTGACCGACAACCCGGGCCCAACCTTCACTCGGAACATGGACAAGAAGTTTGCCGATACCGTCAAAGATCTCTTCCGTTCTACGCGCGACCCTAGTGTCAGGCAGATGATAATGGAAACGCTGGATACCTTTGAGATGACAAAGTTCGATGATCACGGCCTCGGAGAGTTGATTGCCATGTGGAAGAGGGAGAAGGAAAAGAGCTTCAAGCAGCACGGGGTAAGGCTCACAACGTTCAAGTCATACATATGCCCCTTAGCTGACACTCACGCAGCAACCCAGGCAGCAGCAGCCTGTTCAGCCTGAACCGCGATCAATGAATGCGCCTCCCTTTGATCCCCATTCACAAAACTACTTTGCCCGCCATCACAACAACCCGAGCTTGCCGAGTCCTTCAGAACTAGCAAGCAGGTTAGAAGAAGCGAGGACGTCCGCGAAACTGCTCTCTCAAGTAGTCATCAACACACCTCCTCAGGAGGTGCTTGACAACGACCTGATCAAGGAGTTCGCTGATAGATGTCAGAGCGCTTCGAGAAGCGTGCAGCTGTACATGAGAGCCGAGAATCCCTCGCCTGACAACGATACCATGGAGAACTTAATTGATACCAACGAACAACTTCAATCTGCTCTGAACCAGCATCAAAGGGCAGTACTTGGTGCGCGTAAGCAGCTTGGTATTGGTGCGCGTTCAGAGAACGCCAGCCCAATCAGTCCACAGTCAGCCACCGGCCAGCATCCGGAGCCGCCACAACAACAGTGGTCGCAGGCGCAATCATCATCATCTAGCTCAACGCCCGCTCCCGTTCTGCCAGCCCGGCCGGCCGAAGGTAACGGGAAGGGAAAAGCAGCTGAGTCGTTTGCGCCGCCTCCCGGCCCTCCGCCAAAGTCTCAGCCAGAACCCCCGGCCGAAGATCCCTTCAAAGATCCCCAGCCACAAACCAACTATTCGTCTTCTAGCAAAGCCGGTGGATCAGGCTACGCAGCGGAACTTCCATCCGAAGAACCACGCCTTGCTTTCGATCCGTACCACCCAGGCTTCAATACCACCCCGAGCTATCTTGGAAGGCAGGACAGTGCCGTAGGCAAGGTGACTATGCATGGTGCTGATGCCGCCACGACGCCTGGCCCCCTTTCAGGTAACCCAATTCAGACTGTTGACCTTCGAGACCGTCAAGAGGCGCCTCAGGAGGCATCTGATGACGATCTCTACGAGTCCACCCCGAAGAAGAGAAACCAAGGTCAAAGGTACTGAGTTGGCTGATAAAGCTCAGGCGCAGAGTGGTGGATTTGTTCCTGAGGCCCATTGGAGGCGATCCTCTTGGCGTATGGCTTTGAAGGCCCACTTGGGATAGAGTGAAGCCTTTGGCGGCGATATATGGGTAGCTTTGGCGTGGAGGAGTCACGCACGCTGCATAAGCGGAAGTTGTACAATGATTTGGAACTAAGGCATCAACAAAGCATGGCGTCTGGCTGGGGAAGCTTTGGGTGGAATCAGGCCGTTTACAACTCATGAATCTGTTTTTCAATTCTATTTGACAGTTTCCATTCACGATACGCTTCTTGACAACCCAGCTTCTTTGTTCTTATTTCCGGGTTTTTTTTTTTCCCTTCATTCATGAACCATGACTTTTCGCAACTACTTCCCGACTCGTGTGGCTCTGCATACTCACCGACAATGTCGTGATATGCAGACAAGCAAGACAAGGACCCATGTGCCACGACATGCCTTGGCCTCGAGGGTTGACATCGCCGGGGTTATATCCGTCGAGGAGCAAACAATCGCCAGGAGGCGGTGGGCTGATGGCAACCCGAGGGAGGGCTTTTGTGGATCGACAAAAACCATGTGCCATCCCATCCACTCCGGTTAAGAGCCGGGATCATTGCTTATTTCTCCGGGCGACGTCGTCTTCAGCCTCCTGTATTGCCCGTCCCGGTCG